TTGCCGCCTGCGCCCGACATTGGCTGTTCTATAATAGTTCTATTCATGTGTGAACAGAACATCGCAGTGGATAGGTTAAATGTCTCGAAATCTCGTACTTTTAACATCTCTGAGATGTTTTTGTGCTCGCTGGGTAGATAGCATGATAAAAACTGATGTAAATGTGTATCCTCATACCTCGATTCTGTAGTTTTTGTAGAATTTGTTTCAAGATGAATACAAATAAAATTGTAGCACAGTACTCAAAGTGGGGTTGTATTATCTTTATATGAACTGTAACTTTTGTTTCTGTTGATCTCTTTCTTAATTGTACAGGGTGTTAACAAATAAGTGTCACAACGGAGAACTGTAGATTACTCATAATAAAAGAAACATTTCTTTCCTCTTCAAAATTTTTCTCCGGGCTCCCGTTTTCAAGATACAGGGCGTCAAAAAATCAAAAATGTTCTGTTTGATTAGACACACTTTACTACACTCAATACACTTAACAATTTGAAAACCAGCATACTCAAGAACCTGACATTTGATTGAACATATTATTAGACAGTTCTGAGGTGTTTATTTCCAGTGGAATTTCAGACGATTTCTGGAGATATCATCAGGATTTTGTATGTTCATATTCATAAAGAGCCATCTTTCGCGGAAACTGTTCACTTTAGAGCATTGAGACAAAAGGACGTTTTTTGTGTGAAAGATATAGGCGCTTCAGAAACTACTTTGAAAATTACAATTTCTCCAGTGGCATAAATGTTTGGGGGGTTAAACCCTTATGAGGCGTTGAATTCTCCTCCACTGACATGATCAAGGAAATTGATCAAGAGCCCTAAAAGTAGTCATTATTGATGATAAAGTGTGTACGAAGGCTCAACTCCGTAGCTCAGACGGTTCCTGAGATAGCAGCAAAAAACAGATTTTTTTATATTTTTTTGACGTCCTGTATCTTTATAACGGAAGCCTGGAGAAAAATTTCGAAAGGGAAAAAAATGTTTCTTTTTTCATGAGCAATCTACAGTTTTCCGTTGTGACACTTATTTGTTAACACCCTGTATATTCAAAGTGGATATCAGATGTTGAAAAAATTATCTTTAAGACCAGTTCTATGAATGATCCAACATCAGTGCTGGAAAGTATAGATCTGAAAAAAAATCATTTCATAAATTTCAGGTCTGAAAAGTAGGTCGAATGATTTGAGTACATACTAATACCTAATTGATAAACAAGGTGTATGATGGTTACTCATGATACTTATTGCGTTAGTTTGCGATAATAATGTTCCTGCTCCAATTCGAAAATAATGTAATAATTATTACACTCGAGTGTTGATTCTGCAGTCTGGGTTATGAAAATCGAAAACAAAACTTGATATTCAACTAAGTGGACTGACTGAAACAGGTAATGGTCACGCTACTTTCATTTTCGTCGAAACCGAATCTCATTGTGAACTACATACTTACTATGTATACGCAAGAATTTAAATCATTTGTTTTCAGTTGTGGATGCATCAGATCCAAAATGATCCCATACAGATAGGGAAATATTATTTATACAGCCTTATTTATCAGTGTGATAGTATCAAGTGGTTGACTAGATTTCTCATTGTTCCTCTTCTTTCTTCAAGATATTCACGCTTGGGTAAGTGAACTTGAAAAATTCGAATCGAATTCGATTGTTGAATACTGTTCACAGAACATTGAGTGGAGAATGAATTATATATCATAACCACAAAAACAAGTATTGATTTTTGCGAAACCCAAATTGACAAGAAGGTTCAAGATTGAATTATCTGGATTTCTTGATAGGAATGTTTTTTTTGTTTATCATCAAGAAAGCTCATTGAATTTTGTAAGAAAATAGTTACTTGTTTTTCTAGGCAGCAAAGCAGCGAGGTTAGGAATTGATTTACAGCGCTGCCGAGTTGAACATATATTTTTCTCTCCGATTGTTAATCATGATATTCCTTTCCGATTGACAGCAGACACCATTTTAATCAGCAAAGTATATCTTTTCCTGCCTAGGCAGCAAAGTGAGGACTTTGCTGCCAAGACACCAAAATGCTTGTTCTCAATGGGAATAGAACATCCGAGACTTCTCCGGCAACGAATTCAACTCAATATTGTTTGCCACCTCTCTCATTTCTGGAGGAGTGACGACTTCTAAGTCGCCATCACTGTCTATAATATGAATATACCGATATTTTTCCACAAAATGTTCTAAAATTCTATAAGTTGTCGCACTAATAATTATTATGGACATATACTTCCATATCGACCAACCATTCTAACATTGCGATTTCTGTCAAATTCTGTTTCAATTCATCACAGCAGGAAAAAGAAAAAGATTGTAGAAGTTGTAATACTTTGCAAATGCATTATTCTACATAAATAGTGTAACTCATAGAAATTTGAATAAATTCCGCTCCTGAATGATACATCTGTTAGATAATCTAGTTATCTTTTAAAATAAAATATAATGTTAAGGATCTTACTGTACATAACAACGTCAGGCCAGATGACAAGGGATAGATGGTCAATGAATTTTGAATAAAGATAATCTGAATCTAATTAAATATATATATCACTTATTAACATGGCAACGTCAGGCCAGATGACAAGGGATAGATTGTCAATGAATTTTGTTCAACATTTCTCTTCTCATACTTTGAGGAATCACCAACTGTTATAGAAGCGAGCTCACTATTATTGAAGATTAAATTTATGAAGGACAACAGTTGGTGATTCCTCAAAGTATGAGAAGAGAAATGTTGAACAACATCAACTTTGCATAACAACAGAAATTTGAAACGGAGATTATTATTTTCTGAACAAATCATATTTCTGTCGACAATTTGTCATTGGAAGTTGGTAGCATGATGAAGTTACTAGAATGAAATACGTTTGTCGGTGTTAATTTTTTTAATATCACAGGCATTTCGTAGAAATCGAAAAAATATCAGAAACTAAAATTTGTTATAGAACGTTCAAATCCGAGACCATGTGTGATATTACAATAGAGACACTTTTTCTTCGTAAACTTTCATGAAATTCACACAAATACGCCCATGCTCAGCGATCAATTTGAAATAATGGTACATTTGACATATAGCGAAAGTCACGTGACCCTGACCGAGTAGTCCATTTTTCATATTTTTCAAAGCAAAACTGAACGCCCAAGTCGAAATTTGAAATAAATTATTCTTAAAAGTTTATCCCTTATGATGCCGACTTTATGAATGACACTGTATATTATCTTGGCATTTTCAATGTATTCAACTTAGATGCAAAGTTTGATGAATTTTATCCCTTCAGCAGATATTCAGTGAAATCTTCTTCGAAGGAGTAGTATTCTTCTAAGGAATTAGTCGATTTACTATTTTGGATGAGTGTTCCTCATATACAATGAACGGGGATTCTGTGAGCCTCCTAGTGAGTACTAGATAATGAAAATCGATTGAAAGGAATGGTTGATGCCAGGAAGAGGTTTTGAAATAAAAATATCACATCCTGTATAGCAAACGGAGACGAATTGTCAAAAATATTTCGAGGCGTCCGATATGGATTCTGAACATCGAGAAAACCGTTGCAATCTGCGCTCGTGATTTTTTTTTCTGAGATTAGATTTTGTTCCTATATTATGCCTTCACTCTATATATGCTACTAGTGACTCAGCAACATGAAAATATAAGGGTAACAAATTTTAGATCTACCATGTTCGTTCATTTTATGAACTATTGTGGTAATGACCTGGGTTTCTCCCTCTTTATTACCTACCATTTCATTTTACTTCGAGTTTTCTGGCTTATTCCTGGTTGAGAAAACGTCAGTCGGGCAATCAGCCACTGCCATTTTGTTCAAAATGAGAACATCAGGCTTGGAGTGTTTCTCTCCTTCTGCCCCAGACGGCGTTGTTTCCATTTCGCACTGGTCGAGCGCCTCGTGTGTAATAAATACTAAGAGATCTTTACATTGAGTCAAGTTGGCACCAGATAGTGTTCATGAATGCCATCTGGGGACACCTCTGCACAGATGAGAGTCAAAGCTCGAAACCAGTGTGTAGGTTGTCAAGCGTTCTTTTCATTAACTATATTGTAGTGAAGGTGGATAGATATTGTAGTAATAAATTGGAGTTTCAATCCCTTTAATAAATCTAAGAAACCCTTCTAAATATTCCGAGATGAAGTCTTATCGTTGTATCGTATGAAATTGATAATTTCACTCTTCACCTCATGTGTCTCTCGTTCTTTTTATTCTCTATCATCATTGTAGCTGTCCTTGATCGAATATCACGACTAGAATAGAAACCTACAGGTTGTCGATAAAGAATTTATAGTACACTTTATGGTGGATATATGCAGCAGTTCCAAGTCGTGAATATGGAGTCATAAGTCTAAGGGAATACGACTTACGACTCAAAACTTATGACTTATTAGCTCTGCGCACAAGCTGTGTTTTTTTTTATCGCTTGGAGCGCACGAAAGGAAATCCCTATAATGTTAAAAGAACATCGTGCTACCATTTGTCATCTTGGTTTTGTTTACATATGTTTTAATCGAATAAAATTCAAAACAGATATTTGTAATTGCTGAATAGTGGAAACAATCAATTTCTTACGACTCAAAAGTTGTGACTTAAAACTTACAACTTAAAACTTGAGACTCAAAACTCGAGACTCAAAACTGCTCCATAAATCCACAATTAGTGTGTTGATAACCATAGTTCTGAATATGCGATAATGTAATTTTGGGCGACAGATTTCAAACTATCTCACTCTGAAATGCTTTTAGATGAGTTTTTCGTTCTCAGTTCGAATGTTTCAACTGTGTCCACAATGATGTTATCTTCTCCCATTGACAAATGACAAACGAAAAGTATCTCATAATTCTCATTCTGAGATCAATATATTTGATATTCTAATGACCATTTCAGTATTCAAAATTGGCTGTTTAAAATGAAGTGGTCCCTCATAGATGACTATAGCGACAGCTGCATGTTTGGATATGATTTAGCAAATCTAACTATGGGTCAATTTTATCTGAACATCAACTTCGAGGAAACCTATGAAGATTTATATCTGTACACATTGAATAAAGAATGCTATGAGGTGAGTAGCGTGAAGATCTGCCCATAAAATAATAAAATTAGCAGGATCAGCAGGTTCATCAAAACGTATGTTCAATAGTTCTATAGTAGTTATTCAATAACGAATCTTGAGAATTATATTCAACAAACCACCTCAATATACCTCTGATATCTTATTCAGCGAGGGTCAGATTATGGATATAAGTGAGCTGTACTGCAAAACAATTTCATACTTTACTTATAATAAACCTGTTTCAACCTGATTGAACATCGATATCTTACTATATGCAGATTAGCTGCAAATGACATAATAACGCGTGCACAAAAATCAATAGGTCAACGATATTTTGTCTACATTGGACCAAGGTTTAGTAATCTTTCCCCTAGTTCTAATAAACTCAAAAAAATTGTTTAAGAAAAGAGTGAAAGCTTGGATTTTGTCTTTGAACAGAAATGTATTTCATGATCTCATGGATGATTAACATATTGAATATTTTTTGTAGATTGGTAAGATGTATCTGTTCATCTGCTCGTACAATGTTATGTTATATGTTGTTGTTAGTGTCATACCTTTTTAATAATGAGTTCACACAAAGGTTTCTGTTTTTCACTTTCATTTTTTTTTTTTCAGTAATTTATATTATATGATAACATTTCATCCTTATTTTTATTAGAGAGTAGCTAACTTTAGGCGAATTCCCCGATACAAATCACTTCGATTTTAACATTCAGTATTTCTTTTTATATTTTTCCATTTGTGGTTCCATTCGATTTTCTCAATAATTTTAAAAAATGTATTGTAATAGATATTGTATTTATACTCATACAAATGTTATTCATGTTTTGTGAATGTTATTATTGATGGTTTGTAAATGTTATTATTGATGGTTTGTAAATGTTATTATTAATGGATTGAATTGAGTAAATATTATTATTATAGTAGTAGTGGAAGAAATGAATGAATAAAAATGCGGTTCATTTGGCAACATAGGGATCTATGTCATGTCATACTGAACGTATGTTCTTTCAGTGTCCCTATCTCCTTTCATACCATGGCAATGGCTCCATCAAGAATTGTATGAGTAAGGATCCACCGAACACCGTTTTCTCTACTGACCTCAAATTTCGGATTGCCACTGAACACAAAGAGTATTTTCCTCAAGACCAATCCAGTAATGTGATTTGTGATCTGGATCAAAGCTTTGGTCAGTTTGGGATTTACAACGTGAACATCAATGAATCAGGATGCTATGTGGATGTTCTCGTAGAGCCAGTGAATATTTACACTCGTAAGTATCTCTTTTTGAATAATATATATCGAAACATAAACGATAGGTCTCTTAGCCTAGTATAGTTTTATTTGCTGTAGTTTCATAATAAATAGCTAGCGAATGATTATGTTCAAGAGATGAAATCTTAGTAATTGAAGGGGTATCGAAATTGATATTGATGGGCCGGTGCACGAAATTTGAAGAATCACATGTTTTATTTTCAGCGATTCTAACTGTGATCCTAATATATTCAGCTCTATTTTCGCTAATTTATGGAATCTTTTTCTTGTGGAGAACTAGAAAAACGTCAGAAGACAGCCAAGCGAAAAAGGAAAGAATCAAATCTCTTGACACTTTCAGAGGGTAAGTCCTTTCTAATGCTTCAACTGTTTCATCTTACTCTCAATCTATCCTCGAATATTTTCTAATTTAGCTCTAAGAGAATATCTATCGATCTGGTCTGGTGGTAGGTGAAGACATGTAAGCCTCAGTAATTGAATTTCATGCAGGTGTTACCATCTCATAAGTGACGTCATCATAATTCTAGACTTGTTATCTTGTTATCATTATATTTAATTGAAATCTTTGACATAAAAATCCAATACTTTGTTAGTATAGATATAAATACAGAATAACAGTACCAACTTCTTGGTAGTTCTCACAACGCTATAATCATAATAATATGTTGAATCCTCGGAACTTTTTTTATCAAGATTCTCACTTTTTTACAGTATCAGCATTGTGGTTATGATATTTGCAAACTTCGGGTGTGGAGGCTATGAGTTTATAGACCACGCGAAGTGGAATGGACTTCACATAGCAGACCTGGTTTTTCCTTGGTTCATATGGATCATGGGGGCTTGCATACCAATGTCGTTGACATCAAGTTTCAAGAGGAAAATCTTGAATAAGGAATTGATGGCAAATATCACAAAAGTGAGTCAGTGTTCAGAAGGCCATATGCATGGAGATTTATTGAGCTCATCAGGTCGTATAACCATTATCGTCCAAAATAAAAACCTAGTAGACCTACCTCCTACAAAATAATTATATGTTGGAAGCAGAATATCCATGACCAAGATCTGAATAGACTCTCGCCTTCCCGCTTCTAAATATATCTTCATTTCAGATATTTCAATAGTTTCAATAACCCTTCTGGTATTGAAAAGGAATATTCTCAGATATATTATGAACACAAAGAACTGGATATATAGGGTGAGTCAGAATAAGACCGACAAACTTCGTACACGGATTCCTTACATCATTTTGAGGTGGAAAGTTACCTACAACGTAAATCCTAAAATGCATCCTCACTGAGATACACCCCACCCCGTATACCCTTGCTTTTGATCCTATTAACTTTCAGAAATGTTCAGGAGGTTGAAAAATGTGATTTCTCGTAAAAGTTCAGCATTATGCGATTATGGCACGCAGCAAATTGGGTCTCAACCCCAAGACATATCTTTAGTTTTTCGCCAATATCTTGGGAACCTCTTTACTTAGGCATGAAGAATGTTTATATTTTCAGGTTAGGTATTGATGAGACTAATTGATGTGATACACCCATTTGACAATTCATCTGTCTAAGAAAAAATATAAAGGAAGATGTGGCGATATACGACTCTAACTACGCCACTGGTTGACGAAACCAAGAAATGAAAACCCCATGTGATTATTATACCTTGATTGATCTGGACTGGTATACCAAGTTTCAATTTTTTTGTTACAGGGGTTCTGGAGGAATTTAGAGAATTCTCAACTTTTATCGTAATTTCGACATCCTGTATCTCAGTGAGGATACATTTTGGGACATGCGTTGATAGGAACTTTTCACCTGAAGATGAGGTGACGAATCCGTGTACGAAGTTTTTCGGTCTTATTCTGACTCACCCTGTACATATAAGATCGAAAAAATATCAAAGGCACTGTTTGAATCAAACTAGAGTGCACATAGCCATCATGAAGAGTCAACCGCAGACACGTGTTTCGGGCTCTCGGCCCTCATCAGTGCGGTGAAAAGAGTGCAGAAGATGGGTAACACTTGGTGGAAAACGAAACAATGAAATGACGGAGACAACAATATATATATAAAGAAATACATTGATTTCGTCATTGTAACATTCATATAGTATTTCCCTATCATGATTTTTCCTTCCACTTGCATGAATGTTTGAGATATCAATTTGTTTCTACTCATCACATATAATTTTCCGTCTCTTAGCTGACAAACTATCTATAGGTGTTATTTCTAGAGAGATGGCAAAGTTATCAACTTTTCTATTCATAGCTTTCATGAGATCGTCTCAATAAACAGTGATGTTTCATCACAGCACTGATCAGACTCAAGCTTCAATAAATAATAAATCCAGCTATTTTACCATTGCACAAACACTGCTTTTATCGCCATGCATCCTGCTGATGTGTGTGTGAGTACGAACAATGTTTATTTCAACATGAGAATTTTTTCTGCCACAAACTTGACATAGAGATGAATCCTGACAAGAATGCGAAAAATTCTTAGGGTTAGGATATCAAATGAATAACTCTAGCTAGCTTTTACATCATTTCGTGAAAAAAATTTATCATCATCGTCATGGTACCAGCACTGATCAGACTCAAGCTTCAATAAATAATATACGTCCATGATCCAGCTATTTTACCATTGCACAATAGAGAATTCATGAGAAATTGCTCAATATCTTTGATTAATATGGAATATATTTTGCAGAGATCGTTGAAGTTGTTCTGTTTGGGAATATTTCTGGGTAGCGGTTCTGACTTAAATTTCCTCCGTATTTTTGGAGTATTACAAAGGTTTGGTGTCGCATACTTCACCATTTCCACCATATGTATATACTGTATGGACAGAGCCGAAATCAAAGAAGGAAACTCTTATTTGGTAATTATTCCTCCCTCTCCTAGTCAATTCTATACATCACTATGTGGAATAATATTATTTTTAGGCCGATATTCTGAAAATCTGGAAAGGATGGATAGTAGTTTTGTCTCTTCTTTTGGTTCATACGATTTTAATATTCACGGTTGCCGCTCCGGGTTGTCCGAAGTAAGTTCCTCAAGTAAGTCACATGTATCTCAAAAATTTTATGGAAATCGAAGTAAACTCATTCTTATCGAATTTGTGATCTTAGATGTTATCAATGATAGTGTTTTTTCGTTGAGACTATAATAAGATAATTATGACTAAAATTCCAGAAATCATTCATCGTAAATCGTTGAAATGAGGGCTGATATTATCAGTTTCACCAGATGGAGCTACTAAAACATGAGGTCAATGTCAAAGCCAAAAATTCCAAGATGTTGCGCGATTGTTCAATCGAAAATAATCTGAGAAAAATGTGGTAGAATATTTGAACAAATATAAAACCTCAAGATAGCAAGATAGCCTTCAGCAGAATTACGTTTTTTCATTTTCCAATGAGGAAGAAGATGTGTTGTGGACATTTAAGGAGTTCTAAAGAGAAATGACTATATGATCGTGTTTTTTGTAGACATTTTCACTATAGTATATCGGGTCCTATCTCAAAATGAATCTTAAAGAGATGTGACAATATTTTGACATCATAACCATGTGAGTCATATACAGTACTGTTACAGTACAGTACAGTACAGTACAAATTACAGATTCTTTGAAATCATTGTATGAGATTCTCGAATACAAATATTAAAAGAAGATATCATATTACACAATTTCATACTAATAGAAGTATTATGGTAAATTTGCTCTGCTCTATGGTTTTATAATTTATAATGTGATCACTCAAAATACACTACTTTAACTTCTTTGGTATAACTAACCACACAAAATTCAAAATTGCTTTGAAATGTGAAGATTGTTTTAAGAGCAGCAACAACATATACTTTCGTAATATGGGAATATGGCAATGCCGTAGTGTCAATAACCTAATATTATAATATGTTATCTTCATATAGCATTGATCTGGTCCCGAAATTTCGGATAATTTCAGTCTATAGTTTCGTCATATCATTATTAATATCATATAATTTGTTAATTGTTTTTATATTCATGAATGCATGTATGAGATTTTCTTAAAAGATTCTTGACGGCTCAGCCAATATTATAGTCTTTTGAAGTTCTTCTCTATTTATCTGAATTATATATTCATGTAGGTATACTCTGAAACTTCAATAAACATTTTTATCATTATCAATATTATTATTATGGTTACTATTATTTTAGATCACTTACCTGAAATATAATTTATCCTCCGTATCTCATTTCATTTTTTGTGCATTGTACAACTGCACAATGTGATGGCAAACTGAAATAAATAAATAGCCAGAAAGAAAAGTCAGGTTATGTTTCAATATTCTACCCTAGAGTTGGTCATCTGACACATTGTGCACGCGACCTATTATGACCTATTAGATTCCAGAACTGGACTGGGAAAATGTAATTCTTATTGTCACGACAACAGAGTGAACTTTGTGATCACGTTTCCCAAACAGTTCTGTTAGATTCATCAGAAAGATATGAAAAAATATCATAAAAACTGCAATTATGTTCCAGAGGATATATGGGTCCAGGAGGTTTGCACAAAAATCGGTCTCACAATCATTGCGTCGGAGGAGCAACAGGATACATTGATGAATTGATATTGGGGAACCATAGATACCAAAATCCAACCATTTGGGCTATTTATGAAGCGAAACCTTTCGATCCTGAAGGTTTACTCGGTGAGAATATAAAAATTGTATACTAGGACATTTTCTGAAATATATTTGATCTTGATCTTGATCCATTGAAAATTAATTGAGATACAGGATGTTCCTATCGATATCATGTCCATATCATTTTAGGAAAATGTCTTTTCGAAATACATACTGAATACACCCATGCTATCATGCAAAAATATGAGAGAGCTTCCAAGTTGGAATGGAACAGGAATTCAAATACGAATGAGCGCACTTTTCAAATAAAAAATGATGAAATATAATTCGACTTCCATTTTGAAATTTTGAGAATTTGTCGTTCACCCATCAGACTAAATCTTGCTATTTTATGAAATCTCGTAGGCACTTTCGACTTGAAATTTTTCAAGGATTATGCCCTCAAGCTATGTCCATCAAGTCATGGAACACCCTGTATAAACTTTCAGTTTTCACGAAATAAATACCAGATGAAACCATACTGTTGAAGTGATCTTGCATCAACATATTCATTTACTTCTATCAAAATTCATTATTGCAACAAAAATGAAACTCTCAGCTATCTGTCACTGTCAGATATTGAAGTCCTCATTGTGATTGAAGTATGGTTACATATTGATGAAATGAACCTCTGGTGTACGCACTTTAATCCTTTCCTGTTCTACAATTCCTTGATTGTCGCAAACTTCGATAAACATAACAAGGCGTGGGTGAATCTCGCTAAGTTTAGTCTGGTGCCGTACCAAAATTACAGGGATCAATGTGACAATTGCGACCGAATTGTGACCAATAAAGATAGGAAATACAGTTTGCGATTTAGCCGCATCAATGTTGGTAGAACTGATGTTGATCATAAGTTCTAGGAATCACTCCATCTAAAATTCAATATGTGAACCCCACGTCATCGTCTGAAATTCAATTGTTTATATGACGAAACAAATGAAGAGTGAGCGCACCAGAGGTTTATTTCATCAATGTTACATCTACTTCCATCATCATGTTCAATATGTTCTATAAAATTTCTTCTCATATTCAGTGCTGAATTCGGAATGGAAGAAACAGTTATTCAATCCCTTTTTTCTGTCTCAGGTTGCTTGACCACGATATTCCATGTCTTCATAGGAGTACAGGCTGGAACGACCCTCATTGTCTACAAAAACCATTCAGATCGCCTCATCAGGTGGCTGTCATGGGCAGTTTTTACTGGATTGATTGGAGGCGGCCTTTGTGGGTTCAGCAAAGAGGAGGGTCTGATTCCTGTCAATAAGAATCTATGGTAAGTGAATATCAGTTGCGGTAAACACTTTCCAATACCTACTCTACTCGAGTTGTTGGCACTATGGAAGAAATATTATTCTAAATAGGCATTTCAGGACAGGTGAAAGAACTCACCGTCACAACTCCACTACATGAAAAATGTTTCGAAGGATTAATCCTTTATCATCAGCAAGATTCAGAGAAAAAGATCTGTAAGAAGAATACAATGCTTATGTTTGTTCTTCAATTCAAATTTACCTACCATTATTGGTAGAAAAATGAAAATTACAGAAATACCTAACGTAACTACATTATTTTGTAACCGCGTTCAGTGCGGATGAGCTGATATTTAGGAACAATATGAATTGAAGCTCTGTGAGAGCCTTACATATCAGAACTTTTTGTTCAAAAAAATATTTGCTCGTTAATAATTAACATGTGGGTGCGAGATTGACTAATCACAAATATAGCATGGAGAAATGAAACACAACATCGGAATGACAAACGTCAAGTCAAAATAATGAAATGATTTTATCCGAAGTGACATGAAACACAGAACAGAATCAAAAATAATTAAAATAATATAAAGTTGAACAATTCAAGACAAGGTATCGAATTAAGTTCGTTCATTGGGGCAGTTGAGGTCTTCGATAATATGGTAAGAAAAAACTGAATTGTACCCGAAAAAATATTTCTAGGAATTAATTTATATAGTACGATTGTGTTCCGATACTCTGGTGTTGAACCTGCGACCAGTTTGATCAATACAACAAACTTTGCAATCATCAATTCTGCAATTCAATTTATAAACACCAGATTCTTCTAAAATAGCAATTTCCTCTTTTGTGTTGACTGAGACACTTCCTGTAGTGTTGGCTGTTTCAGAAGAAACAATAAAATTACTGGAATTAGTGGAATTGAGTTTCCTTCTCGAGAATCTTCCTGCGTTCAAGGACATTATTTGACCGTGAACCAAAAAAATTGTGTATCAGCTAAACTGACATCACTAGAATCGCTTCCATGAAATCTGACGTGATCGCCATTTCAATCCAAGAATTCATGTCAACTTTGACCAATTCTTGTGACCAGGGCCGTAACAAAATCAATTTAATTTCGTTCTTTTGCGAGTTTCATCCTACTTGAAAACTATCCCTAATCCCTTAGAAACCCTCTGTATATCGTCGACAACAATAGTAACTTCCGGTGTAGGTACCATATAGGGGTCCTGTCTAGGACCGCTTCTCTATAACATGTTTCCAAACTACATAAGTAAATGTCTTGAAAATGCCGAAACACAACAACTGTTGAGCGGATTGTCTCAGAATCTCCAAAAAGGACACTTCTATCGAAGACTATATTCTTCTTCAAGAAGAACAGATTTACTGATTACTGTAGAGTCAACCGACTTCACCTAAATTTACAAAAATGTCGATGAAGTTCTCTTTACATTTACACTATGGTTACAGTAAATGACATTCGAAGCATGAAAATTCCCATTAATTATAGCATTTGTTGTTTACAAGTTCAGATTAGAGTAATGTTAGCTGTCGCACTGATCCAATTTGAGGATTTTTTTTTGTTATTTTGTGCAACCCTTTTATTAGGCAGCTATGCTTGAACATGAACATTAAACTTACTCGTAGATACGAGGTCGACGGAAAATTAATTAACAAATAACTAAATGAACACTGGTGAATAAGTCATCTATAATCGAATGCATCTTCTCTCGCAGGTCCCTATCATTCGTTATGGTTACGTCGAGCCTCGCATTCTTGATGTTGAGTATCACCTACATTTTGGTGGACATGAAGAAATGGTGGTCTGGAAAACCTTTTCTTTATGCAGGAATGAACGCGATCCTGATGTACATCGGCCATGAGATGACAGATGGACATTTTCCGGTTAGGTGGTACTTACACAACTACAACAGTATACAGGGTGATTATCGAAGGACCCATTTTTTGGCGCTCTTATCTGATGTGTGGGGTGTCAGCATTTGGGTTCTAGTGGCTGTTTATTTGTACAAAATCAACTACTTTTTTTCTATTTAATAAATATTCGATCGATTATTTGGATTTTTCATTTTCCTCAAGATGACAAACCCATTCGGGGTAGTTTGTATCACAGGCTTCAGGCTATTTTGTGAACACGTTTCGAATTTTCAATACTACTCAGGTTAGGTAAGGTTAGGTTACATGTGAGTGGGTCTATTCAGCCCTCCACTGCGACCCGTACATTGTGGCTCACACAAAAAGCAAAAAAGAGCGCAAAACTTGCATGCTACATAATTCTGTATTTTTTCGCGAATCATAATCTGATAGTCGGTATATCAGTTTGAAGAAAAAACATTCCGCTTTGACAACTTCCACATTTTTGAAATTTGAGATGCTGAAATTCAATAAACTGTACAGCAACGTTTGTGCTGTGAATGGGTGATTCAACAGCTACCAGAGTTATCTCATCGATATACATTTGTTCAGATTCCCCAGAGATATTGACAAGTAGGTATGTATGTAATATTATACAAATATGATAAAAAGTCTAATGTGGATGAAAAATATACTATATATTATATGTGTCTCAGAATTGGATATCATAAATCATACGGAAGATTTTTTATTCATATAAAGGCAAAATTTCAAAACATACACATGTTTCCACAAACAACCTGTTTTTGGGCTACAGGGTATTGAAATTTTCCGAAAAATATCGAATTTTCCTTGTATTATCGATATCTTGTGAAATATTGCAATGCTACTCTCATATACACATACTATATGGTATATTCGGAAATCAGATTATTTCTTAGAAAATTTAAAAACTTTGTAGCTGAAAAATAGAACGTTTTTAAACACAATTGTTCTTGAAAAATGTTTGTATTTATTGTGAACAAGGAATATTCTGTTGGATTTATGACTTCCAATCTTGAGACACCTTTACTTGAATATCATTGCTAAGGCGCCTTCATTCAAGACGCCGAAACCATAACGGTTTTTTTTGTCATTATCATATCTATTGTTATCTATCACGAAAATTTCAAATGTTGAGCTACATTTCATCGAATACGTTAAGGACCAAATTTAGAAAAACTATTCACCTCCCCGCTAACCAATCTATTTCAGCTTGAGGTCTCCACACTGTATGTTGAGCCCTCATGTTCGCTCCAGGGTGCGTCCATTTTTAATACTAGGACGACTTTTGGACGTCCATATATAACATGCGATGTTTTTTTTTTAATCGAGGTGGTTGAAATCCTTTATGGACACCATATGAGTCCAGTCGTTACCGTCCAGTCCCCCATATGATAGGGTGGGAGTCCCCTGACTCCAGGGTATACAAACTAAACACTCCACCCCGTTTGTCGGCTCGTCTGACCGAAGTCTCCGACGACACTTAGGCCTAGGGGCAATTGTATGTTACCTACATGCTGTTATCAATTTTACCATATACGACTCATGGTGCTTATTGAGGGCCACTTCAATATGAAAGACCCTTTTCGTTCAGGTTCCTGAAGATTACTCTTCCGATCCCTGTTCTCGTCAACGAAGAAGGCCAAAAGTTTTCCTTCTCCTACGAGTGACGGGGGAAGGGGTTCGTCCAGCCCTGTGGTGCCCCCTGCACAGGGCTAAGGCTACTTACTCTGAGATGTCGCCATGTTTCCCAGAGGCCCTGTTAGCGACACCATACCTTGGTGCCATTCATCCATCACCACGGGTTCCCACAGCTCGAATTAGGTTGCCAGAGCCTCGTTGACCAGTCTTTGGCAACCTAGACAGACAACAGCAAATCGCCTCATCCCTGCTACAGATGTCCACAAATTGTCCCATCTGGCCCGGAGATAGCAAAGATGGTCCCAAAATACTTCATCCGTCGAGCGGCCGCGGTCTGTCCTCCCCACACCACTTGATGGTGAGGTTGGGCTTGGAGGAGAGGAGGAAAAGAGAAGTTGGCCAAGAAAGGCCGATAGATAGATTGGAAAAGTAAGAGAGAAGAGGATATCACCCAAGGCAAGTTGAAGTATGATGAATATCCGTCTAGGGTACCTCGAGTTCACCATTCCCGTACTCACAAGTTGTGAGCCCCTGAGAAGTATTCATGCGTATTAACATGCGATGTTACAAAACCAGGGGTACAGGACCTTGGAAATAAATAACTATTATGTATCAACGGTGTTAAATTGTTATCAATGCGCGACCACTGTCATTCTTTGACGTTTGTAGAAAATATTATTTAATTCATGCATTAATCAAAACAAATACAACTCGTTTTATTGATCGATATCGAAAATTCCTTGTCTTTCTCGAAAACAAATTATGCTGCTTTAGGAAACCACACCCGATGTATTTCTGTCTTCTCTGCGAATTTCATGTCTTTATCCAGTTATCAAAGAATCACCTTCTGAATTAATTCAGCGTATCCTATATCTCTCTGATAAGGAACCTCCTTAGAATATCGATTGCGAAAAAACAGATAAGGTGTTCAACATAATGAACGGATAAGATGATCAATCATTATTATGGAAGATATGAAATAACAATGATTATCGTGATACTGTGTTTGGTATTCGGAAATCATTATAGTTTTGTGAGTAAAGGTGATTTTATGTGCGTAGTTCCATCTGAGATTTGAGTAGACTGTTCTCGTTTTCAAATACGATGTATTGGTTTTTCGTTATAACATATTTTCAGTAGTAATGTGAGTATATCTTTACACTTCTTCAAATTATTCTGAAATAAAGAAAAATATAAACGCATCAGCATGCTGAGGACGTTGGTGGAATTATTTTGATTTCGAATCTATCAGAATTCAACAAGAATCTATATAAAAACTACGACACATGTATTGTAGACTACACAATTCTTCCGAAAATGTTGCTAATCTTTTTCGGAAAATATGCAATGTCATTGACATGCTTAAAAAACTAATGTCACCTGTCGTACATTGGTATAACATTGAATTTATGTCACCGACATTACTACCTAATTTCGACTACGGTGCAACTCACAATAAATATCCTGAATTTCGAGTTTTGATTCGGAATTGTAATAGTTTCAAGGATTTATACTGAATTCTGAGTCTCAATTCGGAATTATACTAAATTCGAAGTTGCAACGCAGAATTATACTTGGTTGCGAGTTACAACTCGGAATTATAATTGATTCCGAATATAACGACCTGGAAACAATTATAATCATACTGAATTCCATTTTACAACTCGAAACTGTTTATCAAGAAACAGTTTCGAGTACAGCTAATGAAATTATATGTGGAGTACCACACTCTTAGGCAGTGGCGTAACTACTATACCGCGAAACCCGGCGATTGCGGGGGGGCCGTTCCTCAGAAGGGGCCCTGGATCCACCAACCAGAGCAAGGACTCAGCCAAATTGATTGATACATGAATATTTTTTCAATTATGGATATGCCACAGAAATAATTTTTTCATTTCTGCGAATAGTTTTATTTTGGATGGAGAACTTGATTCAAACTAGTGGTACTTCAAAAAGAAGAAGGAAACAAAAGTAAGAAGATGAGAAGAGTAAAATTTCCAAGATTACCACGTTCTTTACGAATACTACTACTGTTTCGGATAATACAGTTGAATGTTATGATGAATGTCCATCAAGTAGTAGCAGTATGATGATTGAAACAGGAATAGATGTTGACTCTGCAATTATTATAGAAGAAAAACTATTATTCCAGATTTTTTGGGATTTTCTCTCTTCGTTTCTATAAAATGAAAATATGAATATTATTTCAATATACGTGTAGTAAGGACAAATCAGAAGATTTACCCCAAAATGTCACTGCGTTTAAAGAATTTTCCTATCAGAGAGTCTAAAAGGAAAATTCACCAGCTTGTCAGTGACAATTTGTATTGAGAAAAGTTTGGAAAAGAGAAATAAAGGTATATAGAAAAAATATAAAATTTTTACTCAGCAAATGACGAGACTTCTGCTACTCCTGCATTCGAAACTGTAGATACAGATGGTGCGAATATAAAAAGTATTATCTGTATTATCTGTAAGTATATCTGAAATCCACGAGGAGCCCATACCTGACTTGAATGCGGGAACTCCTGGAGATGGAACTGAGTCAAATGATTCATTACTAGATGTATTGATCAAAGAATCATTTCCTTGTGATAATGGCAATTTCAGTGGCCGAAAATTATTGAGCAACACGATAATAGTTATTTAACCAACTAGTGTATTAATGGAGGCGATTAATGATCGAGATATTTTAACGTGCGAGCTAAGCGAGCGCGTTAATGTTCGAGATCATTAATCGCCTTTTAATATACAAGTTGGTTACAAAATTTTTCCGTCGACTATATTTCTCATTTCTCCTGCAAGGAAGAAAACTTGGTTCGCGAATTCATCATTCATCCGGAAACTGCTAAGAATCACCCAGTAGCCTTGTTACTGACATTAGTGACATTTGACATTTGTCGAAATGATCAACATAGGAAATAAATTCCTTGTGTTAGAAAACAGGGATGAAAATCGTGTCAGAGACTTTGAAAGTCGAACCCGTTAACTGAAAATCTTCGATGAAATCCATATTTTCGATTTAAATGCAGATTCCGTAAGTTATAGCATGAACAATGAATGCACGCGGTGTATGTTTAGTTGCCTATATAACAATCGTGCATTAATAGACAAATCGTTTATTAATAGGGGTCATTAATGAACGATTTCATATACATTAAAATTAGTCGTTAATACGAGGTCGACGGAAAAAATGATTATTGTTCGATATGGCCCATCTCAACCAGATATAAATTTTCCAAAAGAAATGGTTGTGTTATTGAACCAAAGGAAATAAAGCGTATTGTGAAGCTTGTTGGTTATTCAATATAACTAATAGTTTATGGAGAGAAGGGACTTCTGACTGGAAAAATTTGTCTCGAGGGGGCCCTAGATGATTTTGGCGGGGGGGCCCTAGATGATTTTGGCGGGGGGGCCCAAAATATGAAGTTACGCCACTGCTCTTAGGCCCTGTTCTATTTTTGATATATATAAACTCGATTGTAAACATCAAATTGAAAAGAAAAGTTTACATGTTCGATGATGAAACTACATTGATTTATTCCGCTCAATTCAACAAATCAGAAATGCAATTGAAAGTGACTAGATTGTTTTATCTTCATGGTTGTCCTATAATAAATTGAGTATAAATCACAGCAAATCAGCATTCATGTATCGACACCTATCAAGTGAACTGAAATCTGATATCAAATTCAATAATGAAATCATCAAATATTCCAGTCATCAAATTCCTTGGGATATTCCTTGATGAACATTTGTCATGGTCCAAACATATTGAATCGATTAGAAAGAAGAATATCTCCAGTAATCGGAGTTCTCTACAGGATCAGACATCAAATCACTTTGAAATACATAAAATGTATATATTTTTCCTTGGTTTATTCAAAATAACAATACTTGATATCAGTTTGGGGTACAGTAAGGTTATCAATTATAAAGCCATTCAAAATCCCTCAAAACAAAGTTATTAAATGTATATTCAAACTAGATTACTTGAAACCAACAAGAAATCTTCATAAACTTAGGCAATTGTTAGATATTAACTCCATTTACAAATTCGAAATATCGAATTTCATACATTCCGTCAAATATAATTTATAAACATTCAAATCTGAATTTTGATTTCAATAGTCATGAACACGAACACATAACCAGACAAAAAGATATGTTAACTCTCATCAATATTAAATCAGATATGGGTAAAAGATCTATTTTATACAATGGAACAATTCTTCATAATAAAGTATCTGCCAGACTAAAGAAAAAATTAACTGTTGAGAAATTCAAAAAAGAACTGAGAAAATACTTATGTCTTTGATTCTCTTATATCATATATGATTTAAAAATGATTATCTGATTATCTAATTTTATTTTTGTTTTTTACTTGCTCTTTCATAATTTGCTCTGCTATAAACATATACAGAGAAGTGCACAATAAATGGACAGTGCTCTAACTTCTGAATCATTCGAGATCGGATTTTGAAAATCGGTGGGTAGCAAGTATAGCAAATTGCTCATTAATTGACGAACCACATTTTGTTTTATCACTTCCGGTTTCACCGAAAACGACCCTGACTTTTGATTTTTAATTAGGATACCCTGTATTTTATTCCATAATCGGTTAGGGATTATTATAACGAATTCAACGGTACCAGATTTGATAGGGTTATTTCAAACGATTACGAAGATTTTCGCGTTTTAAGTTCCCATACTCTCAATGGGTGTGACCGCAATATCGAAACTTCTTTCTCTGTTCCACTTATTGAGCAAATGGAAACTTAGAACACAAATATCTTCGTAGTCGTTCGAATCAACCCTATCAAACCCGGTATCGTTGAACTCGTCATAATAATCTCTAACCGATTATGGAATAAAAAACAGGGTGATTCAGAAGATACAGCACTGGCCATTTTTTGTGCACTTTCCTGTATGTTTCTTGGGAAAAATAAAGATTATAAATAATAATTTATTCCGAGTTACAACTCGGAATTATAGTTGATTTCATGTTTCAACTGTTCATTGACTTCATTCTATTTTCATAGTGTGCTATGGAAGAAGCTACTGATGTAGTGCTGAGTAAGATTAGTCTGCGGGATCTCTCAGGACTGAGCGACAGTTTTTTCGAAGAAGGAACACCAACAAATATATCTCAAGTACTCGACGAGGCCAAATGGAGACTCTCGCACCTCAAAGTGAGCAAATATCTTCAAAATGCATTCTTCAATTTCCATGGATTATCCGATACTATCCATAATCGATGTTTTGTCGTACTGGTACTACTGGTACTGATGGGGGACGTTTGCACGTCAGAAACTAGTCACTAATGGGACCTTTTTGCAAGCCCCAAGGTGTTTTCAATGACTGATGTGGTTCGCTTAAGAGAGCTGGCTAACATCCTTTTCAGGCACCGCCCATCAGCTCTCTTTCAGAGTTTTTCGGCTGTGTTTTGTAAGCTAATAACGTACTCACTACCATATGCTGCAGTGGCAGGCCTGCTAGCTATTTTCGTTAACCCCCGTTAGACACCAATAAGGTCCACTAAGTAGCTGGCCCGCTCTCGCGCTCAGTTGGTAGTTTTTCCACACCCACCTACATCCACCGTCCTACTTCTTCTCTGATGCTGACAACCACATCATCATCTCTTTATGTGTGTTCTGTGTAGGCTTTGTTACTCACTCCATGCGCCACTTTAGGAGCAGCACTGTTAATTGGAACGCAACAGCGAATCGTGCAGGACTATTCCCAGCTGATGCTCCGAAACTTTACAATATTCAATTCGTAAATAAAATATTGAGAAAATTCCTTGCTCGTGCTGGATGGTTTGTCGTGAATCTTCGTTTTATGAATTCATTTTCATAACTACACATCATGATTATACGAATAATTTTTTTTTATTTTTAGGAACAATTCAATAGTTTCAAGCTAGATCCCCTTTTTGAAACGTTTACCAGGAAATTGAATCATGGCTACTTTTCACTCTTCCTGATACTTCAAACTCTTCTGAGCTCTACTCATTTGATAATAGTGATAGTGACAAATAAGGTGAGATCAAGTTATACAAAGTTGCAAATTTTCAAAATATTACCTATACTTCTGAATCTATACTTGTTTCAACAAAACCATTAATTAGTCAAAATGATATCTTATCATTATGAATTCAAACAATATAGATATTCACGTAACTAGTTAGGAAACGCAACGGGAACACATAGTTATACACAATAGTAATTTTCCTAACAAGTGCGGAAAGTTATTCTTTCCCGCACGCGACTGCCGAATGCAATAAAATACAGGGTGTTCCATTCAAAATAACAAAGTTGTTGCTACTTTTCGATAGAAGCGGCAACGCCGCAGAGCTGAAAATATTTTAGATCGATAGACCAAGAGCAACTACGTGAGTAACCAAAATTTCAGAATGATCCTATGTCCCGTTCTCCATAAACGTCTAACGTACCATCGACCGTGAGTTACCCTGTATATACAGTGTGTCTCACTTCTAATGGAAATCCCCCTGTATCTTTCGTAATTGTTGAGTGAGGATTCTGAAATCTGCAGGAGCGGAAGATAAACTGAAAATACACACTATGGCCAAGTGGAGTCATCTTCAATAGTATACACTGCTCGCCAACATCCAACGAACTACCCATCATTTCCAGAAAATGATATTAGGAGGCAAGATAAGTTGGAAATCACTTCGGATTCGAAATCAGGACGTCCAATTCTGGGAAATTTTCAGTTTTGAAAAATAGAATCCTGTCTCACTTTTCATGGAAGCACCCCTGTATCTTACGTAATTATTGAGGTAGGGATCTGATATTTTCAGGAGAAAGGAAGAGTCCAAAGATAAAGTCGATTACGTATGAAACGGGGGAAGAAAAGTATGAATAGTTAGTGAATTGGACGTCCTGATTTCGAATCTGAAGTGATTTTCAACTCATCTTGCCTCCTAATATCAATTTGAGAAATGTGGGTGGTTCCATTGCTGTTGGCGAGCAGTGTATATCACTGAAGATGACCTCACTTGGTCATAGTGTGTATTTTCAGTATATCTTCTGCTCCTACAAATTTCAGAATCCTCATTCAACAAGTACGAAAGATACAGGCACTGTGTATATATATAATTTCATGTTTCAGGATGATCTGCATAGTGTTATTCCTGATCTCATACTATACTCTATGATGATAGTTCTGTCTCTCTCAGGAATAACCCTAGTTGACAGGATAGCGAAAAATCACCAAATATTGCAGTATGTGTGTCTGATGTGGTATGGAATTATTTTTTTCGTGAATTTTTTCATACCCATCTACCACCGGGACGATGGTCGGTTCCTGCCTGCTTATACACCCACTCTTATAATCGCCACTTATCTATTTTTTTGCATAAAACGCTTGTACGTTGCGTTATTGATGGGTCTACTGGTCGGTGTCGTCAATACAGCCCTAAATACTTGGCATATATTATATGGTCACTCGAGTATAACGTGGAGAAGGGTAAGTACAATATGAGGTGAAGATCTGTACTAGCTGTATAATTGTTGTTGTTGTTTGAATTACGATTATCTTGCTGCACATTACTCTGTTATCATCACGAATTTGATATTTATCGTTTTTACAATATAAATTTCATAGAATGCTACATTATAGTAGGGAACCCCAAGCGGGGATTACGGGATTTACTCTAGCGCGGAGATTAACATACGGGTACTCCCACCATATCTGGGCCCTTTATATGGGGTCGAAAATTCAGGGCAGCAAAAAAATCGTCACATGTACATTCTCGAGCACGGTTAATTTTTTTCTCATTTTGAAGGCAACACAAGCCGAAGTAGCGAAAATCATCAATAAAGTGTGGTGCTTCCACCCTATTTCTTTGAGATGATTTTTCTTCAAACTGAAGTGTGATATAGATCGTTGGAATCAGCTCATAAGGAGCAATCTGAAATTGCAATAAAATAAAGGGTGTGCTATAAGAAAAAGTCTATTTTTGATACGTCACGCATTTTTGAGTAGCCCTGTGTAACGCAAAATATTTCAGAAATGTTCTGCTCATGAGACTATACCATCTCAGGAATTTTCGTTCATCTATCTCAAGCAACAAAGCCGTTATCTCAATTTGCCACACTATTGGTTCGCACCCTTTATGTGTACATGAGCCTTCCGTCTCAAAATTTCAAATTCTCCGAGCTGCTACAGAAAACTGACTCACCCTGTATATTTCATATTTCAGTTATTGCATTCAGTTAACAAAACGAATCCAATCGTCAGATTAACGTAATCCCTCTACAGTCTACATAATTGTCAGATTATGGGTCCATACGACAAGGACATTAAGATGAAGCGTCTCTATAATAATCTGACGCGCTCGAGTTTTTCAAGGTCACGATTTTTTTGTTCATTTTCAAAAATTGATCATTACTGTTGGTCGCGTTCAAATCGTCAGTCTTTTGAATTGGAGCTACTGAAGGGATCACTTTACATCCCTTCTCAATATCTGACGCGAATTAGGAAGTTGGAAAATCGAGGAACGTTTTTAAAAAGCAATGTTTTTCCTTCAAGGTACAAGAGAGAACTGACTTTATTAAATGAAATTTACAAGTAATTCGTGAGACAAACATTGTGATATAATTCTACAGGAATATGGAAACGTAACTCGCGCTCGAATCATTGTTTTTACCTATTCTCTATCTCTTCGTACAGCCACCCCCACCACGTGGGCGCATACACTAGCAATATCTGATGCGCTTGAGTATTTCTATGTGACTGTTTTACATTCTTGAACACCTGTACACGCTCTACCCACCAGTGAAAGGTCATATATCATATAAACTCTTTTACATTCTGGCATCAAATCTTCACAATCTGATACGTCCCCACGACGCTCGAGTAAATCCCTATTCAGCCACTTTGCCTCCCCTACTATTATATTCCAATTATTTGCTTCCAGATCCTATCGGATATTCTATTTTCCGTATTTTTAAATGCATTGGGCTTGTACTATCGATATATGAATGAAATCGTTACCAGACACAGTTTTTTAGATAGAAGGGAATGCATCATGTCCACCCATCAACTCAGACATGAACGAAATCAGATGGTGAGCATAATATTTCTTTCAGTTCAGATATTCCGATCTTATTCTGCCACACCCTGTATATCATGAGTGTAGGATACAGATAAATGACGGATTTTAAGTTCAAATATCAATATGATAATATATTAATTCTTTTCCTTGAGAGTCAGATTCTTCGAATACTTATACCTAGACACTTAACGCTTCTTATCATTTGATTTATTGTTATTGATTATTTTGTTCTCGATTCCTTTTTGTACACAAATATATGGTCTTTGCAATTCATTTTGCTGTGAGTATATATACAGTGTGTCCCGTTTCAAGTGTAACCATTCCCGTATTCCGAAGTGGAACGAACAATAATTCAAACAATTTTCACTTAAATCACGAGAGCTTCAATTATTTCCGTAAATTTTTTCTAGAACACGAATAATGCGAAATTTCGAGAATTTTCTAAATATTCGTGTTCGATAAAAAATTCCCAGATATTAATCAACAGTAAAAACACAAGAGCTTTTTTTTTATCGGATAAATTCCTCTTCCTAACGAAAACATTTGCCAATCAGTAATTTTTCGAGAAAAACTGACATGAAAAAATTGCGAGACCGTAGGTCGAGCAATTTTGTCTAATGTCAGTTTTTCGAGCGAAATTACTGATGGAAAATGTTTGAGTTAGGAAAGAAATTTATCCATTAAAAAAAAGTTCGAGTGTTTTTTGGCATGATAAATCAACGAGAATGTATAAATAAATAACAACAATAATTAAATTTATTGAAAAAACTATCTGAAGGATCAGTTATTAAAACTACAATTTTTGAAAATATTATGGTTTGGTGTCGAAATTTCTATATTTTCTTCTCTGATGGTTTCGACACATGTCGAATATTCGTTCGTACACTTCGTAATATCCGATGATCGTAAGTTACTAACTAGATTTTCGTGATGTTCAGGGTCAATTTGTAAATAGGGTTTGATCGATGCTGAAGAAGAATGTCCAGTTATTTTTATGAGCTGCTGGTCACTTATTCCTGCTTTGGGCTAACTGTGTAACTGTACTCGCACGGTTTGAATGATTGGTAATTTTATTAGTTGTGGTGTCAAGGCCAATTTTTGTTTAAATTTTGGTCCAAGAAGATATCATGTTAATTCCCAGTGGAACATTTTTAAACCAACCTTTAGAATTTTTGTGCCTCGAAAAAGGGTTTGAAGTTAAAAAAAGGCGTTCAGATGTTATGTTTTCGTTTCTTCTTTCTGAAAGTAATTTTAATAACCTCACTGGACAAATAGTTTCGAGAATAGTTTCATCGATTTGATTTTTTGTTATCCATTTGCTGTCTGCCAATCTTTTTGACCGACCCACCTTGTGCCGACTTAGAAAATATTGTATTATATTCTATTCCACCGTAGTAGTTCCATCTTGATTTTTCTCATCTTTGAAATAGTATATTTTACAGTTCACAGCTTCTCCTCCCCTCCAAGCTAATTCATAAGGAGCTATATGGAAAAATCTTTTTTGCAATCCATCTGGTTCATTTACATTCCATAGTCTGGCCATTTTTATGATATCTTTCTTATCTATTGCAACAGAACCTCACTTTCTTTTATCCGGAATAGCTTTTAATTCTTTCCGTTTACTATTTCTTGCATCACGAGCTTCTTTGAAAGTTATATATCGGCAAAAGGATCAACTTTGCTATTGTATTCACTGAAATATTTTTCTTGAATCATCTTCTCAGTCGAATTCCAGATTGTTTTCAAAGCATATTCCTTGTAATCATCTCCATTTCGCTTCTTCATGTTATACGCCCAAAATCCTTCAAAATGTCTGCTATTTGGGGCACCGGTGTTTTTTCTCCCAATTCGTAATTTCTGGCTTCACAAAACTCCATGAATTGTCTCCAAATCGACGATTTCGTGTTTTTAGTTGCTTGCGGAATTGTATTTTTTATACATTTCGAGATTTCTTCCGAAGAAATTTCTCCAAATCGGCTCATTTTGCTTATTTTCGTTTTATACAATACCTACCCATCAAACATGACAAGACAGAAATTGAAGTGACGGTCGCATACTCGATGAAGGAACATGCATTTTTACAGCGATAAAAAAGGATGCACCTTTTTTATCGATGTCAAAATGACTCACGTATCTTAATATAGGGTTTTTCGTCTAGGAGTTGATTTATCGAAGCTAAAGTGGTATTCGGTAAGAAAATTTACATGTTGATGCTTGTTTGTGATGAAATGTAAGAACTAACATAATATAGTAACAACATGTGTTTTTGTGAATTTCGAATTTGCAAGTATACTTACATAATATATGGTAAACTTTTGGTGAATGATTTGTATTCATTGACTTATAGAATTAACTCGAAATAATCTGAAGTTGAATGTAAATGGCATTCAACCTATAAACGTCAAAAAGATACGAAATACAGGCTTTAAATTGATCGAAAATGTTCGGTGTGAGTTTGTCATTGAAATTGATCCTCAGGCAATGAAATTGTATGAAAACCAGTTATTTTCATGAAGAATTTCTCTTGTCAATCTAGAAATAGGAAGACTGAGGATCAATTTCAATGGAAAAAAGGCAATGCTTTATTCGACATGCTTTCATGAAACCACAGCATTTTTGGCATAAAGATGAATTTCAGTAACTTTTCAAAAATGCATATTTTCAAAATACATCTTGTTTCTCTGGAACGAGAAGTAGATATCTTCGGAACCAGTTAGGAAACGCATCATTTTGTGTAACGATGGGATTTTGCGAGACGAGCAAAGCAAGATCCCGCAAAATGCATTATCTATACAGGGTGGTCCGGTTTGTGATACAAAAAATACGAGTCTGAATATTGTTTTTTGAAGAAAAGTTCGGAACGGTTTGAGACGAATCAACGAAATTTCTGACAGATACTGAACTTTTTACGCTTCATAAGATGAAATGAAAATTATTCCAAAAGTAATTCAGTGGCGGCTGAATCTGGGGATGGTGAAGAAGAATATCACCTCAATTTTAATATGTGCATTTCCATCCATCAAAAAACTATATTCAGACTCGTATTTTCAACAACTTATATCTCGAAAACGACGCGTTTAGAGGTATATGTTTATATAAACTTTTTTATCATTTCAACGAGTACGACACACTGCTGGATTTTTTTTTTATTACAAACCGGACCACCCTGTATAACGCGTAACGTACAATATTTTCTGATTTTGATGAAAAATTTCGCTTGATAATTATCAGCCCTACATGAGTTCTACCGATTATGTACAAAATTTAGTAGGCAAGTTGACTTCGCCGGTAACTTTGAAGTATCCGTCAAACAATAATGTGAAAATCAGCGACTAAATTCTTGAAATAGATTCGTTTGATATCTTCATTGATGGAAAATGGTTAATTCAAGTTGAGAATTTCCATTACGTAACTGGTGTTGAAATAAACATTTCATCACCAGTTATGTAATATTTTACTCTACACTACTGGTTACGTAAATTAAGACGCTTAAAAACTTCCGTCATATTTCAAAAGTGTCAAATGACATGTCAAAATCAAGAAACGATATGTTCGTCATGAAGTTTGGCATGAAAATTGCCCTTCTTGTATTTTTTGAAAATAGAACTTGCTTCATTTAATTCTTTCAAAAAGTGTATATTCATTTGTGCGTGATATTTTGGTGAAACTTCGTACATGAGATTTGAGGCATTAGCAAATAAATAGAATATGTATTCATCAGTTTTGGAAATAATGTAATGCCTAGTATTGTTTCCAAAATTTTTGTAGTGATTCTGATCATCAATCAAGAGGCGACTTAATTCATGGGCCATTTGATAGAAGAGGAATATTTTGAAAAAATTGTTCATTCCATATTCAGTTGAAGCGGGACACCCTGTAGCACATTTCATTTCCAAATTCACATAAAAACTTTCGTATCTAAAGATTGCTTCCATTATAAAATCGAACCGATTTCAAATGAAATATGATTGGATTGTATCCTGACTTTGAATCTATTCTCATGAATATTCAGAAGATTTCCAAAAATGAATTCCTTCAGGAACTGTGGTGCGGCAGTACTGTTTTTTTCAATTTCAGGAGCAACTAATGCAAAGTATCCTCCCAGATTATGTTCTCAACAAAGTGAAAGAAAGGTACCTAGAAGCTACTCGAGCATTCCTCAGAACAGGAAAAATTCTAGTGAGAAATCCATTCGAGTAAGTTCTCATTATAAAATACCGAATATCATCAAACTCTATAGGTAATCTAGATTACAGAGAAACACAATTATTTGCACAAGAACACTCAAAATCAGATTCTGCAATCGGATCAAATCTCTATCAGATTATTTTTTTCCAAAAAAAGGCCGTTGAAATATTGTTTTTTTTATTCAATGTATATGACATGAAAACATCTAATTCGTCGTTTAAGCAATTTTTCTGACATCATACTGAAATAGTAGATCGTTTTATTAGGATCAAAAGTGACACTTTGCTTGACAAGCGAATTTTGCATTTGCGAGGCGGAGCGTCCAGCGTAGCTGAGCGAAAGCGAAATTTGTATGCTATTTTTTCTGCAACCGAAAGAATTAACTTAAATAAATATGTGAAGTAAATAACCACCAATGCCTCGCCATAATATGTATGCAATGCAACAAATAATCCACCTGCATCGACAGATCAGGTTTATTCAATTTCCGAGAATGTTCGAATTGTGATTTTGATATAAATACAATCACATAGTGTGTATGAACCAGGTGCTCTAATAGCAGATACCGTGCTAGTGCCAGGTATAGGAAAAAGACATGAAAAATCTTAGTAGGTTAGTGAGCATATCAACAATAATGATAGCGATTATTTAGTTCTCTCCATACTCCACTGTGTTTGGCTCGATAATCGAATGAAGGTTGATAATATCGTTGTTTGAGACAGAAAACTATTGCTGCCCGTGATTATTCGAAAACAAGTTATCCATCCCGAAAATAACGAGTGAAATACAGATCAAGCAAGTACGTGAATCTTGAAGGCTTTCCTGATCAAAACAAAAATCTGCCGAAATCAGAAACAAATCAGGTATGCGTTCCAACCAAAATAACCAACCGTTATAATGTTGTTTATTCTTGATGACCTCTATAGTACATCCTTCTCAGTTCCTAGGAGCTGAAGTTCAACTTCAGCTCCCAAGAACTGAATGTGTTGCCTAGCAACATGCCTATGTTTGTGTCAGTAATAGAAAGGTCAATTCAAGAGTTAATTTTGGAATTAAAATGGACGACTTCTGTGTCGGTTGTAGAAAATAGTAAATTGTTTTATTAGGATCAAAAGTGGCACTTTGTTTGAAGGCTAGCGAAGCCGAGAGTAGACAAAAAATTATTGCAATACAATTTGTCATATGAATCTAGTACTAGTCAAAGATGATGAGCCGAGAAAAAATGATATATGATTCAAATAGTAGAAATTTCTGACATTCCTAAAGATAATCGTGAAAATACTATAAAGCCCTAATATTTAGTTCAATACCTTGTAATATGTATAGTTCCTCAATGCATCCTACTTGGGGCTATATGTTTCCAGTTTTTCGGAAAAAAATTACATCACTCTGTGTAGGGCTACATTATTTTTTTTGAATTCAATCTTCCAACTATATTCTCCTCTTATATCACAGCTAGAAGGTAACCTTCCTAGAACAAATAGAGTGTTTCAAAACGAACCTGTTTCAAGTTGGATGTATCATTTAATGAATCATGGTATAGGACTTATCCCTAGAGTCTCAAACTTTCCGAATCTATCTAAATCGCGACGAAAATCAAAGTCATCAAACAAAACGTTAATCTAAGGATTACAATATGGTCATTTTTTCAATTCTCTGACGGACTGATGATGAGGACTAAAGAAACAGGAAATATACAGGTTGTTTATTGACTCGTTCCATAAAGGAGTAATGAGAACGTACGGCATTTGCAACATGGCATTTAGAATAGCAGTTGTTTCACTGTTGTGGCCAGACGCCGGATCAGTCTTTCTTGCTATGTTGCCATTTACATGCCCTGTGTGTATCGATTGGGCGAACAATCTGTACATATGCTTGCTTGGATATAACAAGTGTGAATTTTTCAGTGCTTCACTTCTGGATTTGCACGAAAATGTATCTATATTATTTGCTGATATTGTTCACTACACAGAGATGACGATTCAGTTGGATATAACCGAATTATTAGAGACCCTCAATGATCTATTCACTTTATTCGATGCAGCATCTATGGTAAGAACATTATCTCGATATTATCAAAGATTTTGAAGCTACAACAATCAACAATGGTCATGTCAGGTTTGTAACTCCTGTTCTTTGCAGGATCTCAAAGTATCACGGATCAAGTTTCTTGGCGATTGTTACTACTGCGTGGCTGGACTTCCACCCAATGCTGCACCAAATCCAGCTGAAGCTTGCGTAGATTTTGGTCTGCAAATGATAGAAATTATATCTGCAATCAAGTAAGTAGAAGTCTCACCTTATACTTCGCAATGCCATGTAATCCTAGAGTCCAGTAATATATACATATCAGAATACACATAAATATACAGGGTGAGTCATGAAGAACTGTACATACTCGTACCACGAATGGAAGCCTCTGAGGGGAATACCCAATTTTCCATCAGAAAACGTTTTCTCCACTCATTTTCCAATATATGAGGTGAATTATGAGATTTGACAAAACTTCTTTTGGTCATAACTTTCCAAAGGCTTCTTTGATTCGTCTGATGTTTTCATGGAAAATTCCTCAAAAAATATGAAATTGACAAAAGTATTCGGATGATAATTCTATTTAAGGAATAAAAAAAATATTTCACTCGCCTATTGTATTCACTCTTTCTGAGATAATGAGATATGAAGAGAACAGGTGTTAATTAATGAAACGTCTTCATCAGGAAACAAAGAAATCTGAATATAAACATGAGGATAGGAGTGCACGATGGAACAATAATTGCTGGTACCATTGGAGCAATCAAATATCAATTCGACATATGGTCGAAAGATGTGGAAACTGCAAATAAAATGGAAAGTGAAGGATGCGCAGGGTAAGTTCCACTACATTTCAAGTTAATGCCCCTCTGGATATCTCTTCAGAAGAAGCACAAATATGTTAGGATAATATTTCTTCAATTTCATCAAGTTGTGGGCAGCATTGTGGAAGTATTGAAAAGGAATATCCTCAAATATATTTATGAACACAAAAAAATGGATATATATATAAAGAAATACATTGAGAATTCACATTCTCCATGTGATGTAAATATTAATTCTTCCTCGGCTTACTCAACAAAAAACAACTACTTTCCTGGCTATATGCCACGACGAACATTGAATTATATCTATTCAACACACGATGAAAATTTGAAAACAAAATCTTCTAAAGTAGAGAATTTGCATTCTCCATCAGATGAAAATATATATATGCACATAATATCATCCTGAATATTCAACAGAGAATAACTACTTTCCTGGATTTTTGCCACGTCGAACATTGAATCATGAACATCTGAAAGGAGAGCATGAAATTGAGAATTGACAATCTCTCAAATCTGATGAAGATTTTGTTTCCAAATTCTTATCGTGTGTGTAATAGATATAATTCAATGTTCGCCGTGGCATATAGCTAAGAAATTAGTTGTTTTTTGTTTTGAATAAACCGAGGAAGAATTGATATTTTCATCACATAGAGAATGCAAATTCTCAATGTATTCATATTGATGTTAGATCAAGATTAGACCAATATGATGTCCTCCTGATGGATTTCTAAATGGGACCTCATTTCAATTTCATTCCTTTTTTTATAGGAAAGTTCATATAACGAATAAAACTAAGGAGAAACTCAAGAAACACTATCACATAGTTCCAACAAATAAAGGAGAAACTGTTCCACAATTCAAACAAATAGGAATAACGACATTTTTAGTATCACCGGTGAGTAAATAGAACATAAATTTAGTATCTTGATGCCAAAATAGATGCACTGATATAGCAAAAATCATCTAGATCAAAAAGGGACACTTAACTTTTATAGATCGACAACTCAAAATATACTTATTTTCTATGGTCTATGGTCGGATTTGTCATAGGAAATTGAATAAATACCTTTTGGATGTAATCTTGATAACCTATCCTCTTTCAATATTTCTTTCACTGAATAACACAGAATGATTCTTCTAAATGCTCTATCCCAATAGCCGAGAATGATGAATCATACCCTCATAATAACATAATATTGAATGAATAATTATTATCATGTTGAAATGTAAGTTGAATAAATAATAATGGCAGGAAATCGGTTCTAGGTTATTAAACGATTTGCAACACGATACGAGAAGCTGCAATTGAAAAATGCTGTCGAATGTTCGGTACAATGAAGAAGTCTTTTTACCTTATAGTGACTATCACTTTCCGAAAGCACTAATTTGATGGAAGGTGTATGGGAGATTTTTGGTTCTCAACATTTCGTGTACGAAACGAAGAATATGCGAATCATTTGTTCTGTCCAGTCGTAGCCAACCAATGTCATAAATGAGCCTATACTTACGATGTCTTACTTGCACAAGCAATTGCAAAACCGTGCACGAGTATTAAGTATAAGATGAAGTTCCTTCATTTCAGATGAATTCAAGGCAGATTCATGGACAGAGCCACAATATCAAAGTTCGACAGAGATTAATTTCAATTTGCTTTGGTATAGGATGTGACACTGAGAGATTTAATGAGAGTATTATAATAGCTTTGGCACAAAGATGATGTACTGAGTAGTACTAGTAGTAGTAATAGTAGTACTGTGATGAGGATAGTGCCAGGCCAACTCCTGCTCTCCAAATATCTCCACATTCTTCCTTTTTCAAGTTGTCCTTTCTGAACCTCTCTGACCTTCTGATGAAGGCAAGGATGTACGTCCACTCTAATTCTATTGAAGTCTCTTGTGGTTGTTTATCCACCTCAAAGGTTTCGAATCTCTTCCTTCCATACGCCTCACACTCTCGGAGGAAGTGGAGTGACGTTTCCTAATCTTCTCTGCATTCACGGCAAGTAGGGATATCTTCTTTACCTATGAGTGATAGAAGCCTGCGCATCCTTTTGTGTCTTGTCAGTACCCCTATGAGGAGGCTCAGTACTTGATGGTCCCTGCCAAGTAACCACGCCGTTCCTGACTTGCTTGGACCGACCACCAGGTTTTTTGATTGCTTGTCTCCAATACCCTCCTAGTGCTTTGTCCATCCATAGGGGGTGGACGAAGTTTGGCTTCTTGTTATGCCCAGTACAGGCTCCGGTCCCCAGAACTGTGTCGCGGATCCGATTCTAGCCAACTCGTCTGCTACTTCGTTCACGGGCACCCCCCTTTGACCCGGAATCAATACTAATTTGACTTCCTCCAGTTCGAATAGTTTCTCAATAGCATAACGCATTCCTGAACCAATTCTGAGCTTGCTTTTTAGTGTCAGATAGCTTTGAGCACCGCCTGACTAACCTAGCAGATGTGAATCTTATGTGATCTGGCCCCTCTTATATCTTTGCTACGGCCAAAAAGTCGGATAATTCAGCCTGAAAAACTGTAGTATATTCCCCTAGGGCGTAGATCTGTTATACCTTTTCTAGCTGAATTCCTGCACCTCATGTTTGTCAGTCAGGCGCGATCCGTCCGTGTAACATACTAGACTCCCTGGGCGAAATGCCACTCTATTGACTTTCCATTTTTTCCTGCTTGGAATAGTAATAGTGGACCTGCTCCTTCGTTAACCCAGTTCCCATAGTCCCGATGGACTAAGCCCATTACTCAATTCATCTATCTCCAAATGATTTCTTATGTTTGATATGCTTGTTAACCTTGCAGACACAATCAGAAATCAGACGGTGTTGTTCCGAAGGTGACATTTGCGAAAACCATCTACCTCTGCCACCTGGTCGCCCATCGGTGTTCAAGAAACGGAACGAAACTTTCCTGAAACAAATGCAAAGAACGACATCCTTGAGCGAAGAGGAGACCACATCCAAAAACGTTCCATCCATTGAGGAACACCGACCAAAATATGTATCGTTAAGTGAGGACGAAACTAGTGCGAGGTAAAGTACCTTAATGTATTTGACACTTCTGTTTTGACGTTCTTGTATATTATGAGTACGGACACTACGACAAGAAGTGACAGTCAGACATAACCACAAATAAATTGATGTAAAAACATATACGTATTAATAAACAATACGGATCATAACGGGTGCCAGGATGAAGCCAAAAATATGAAACAAATGAATATCCATAAGGATTTGGTGGCATGATACGCATGCGCCATGCGCTATTATAGTAGTCATCAAAGACATGCGTTTCGGTGGACAATGACGTTTACTAGCCTTTCAATCAAAGCAGTATGTGTCTGATCGTTTCAAAACTTTTCCTTATGGATAGTCATTTGTCTTCAAAAATCGGCTTCATGTTTCGCTATGGAAACAGATAGAGATTATCCGTATTGATCATTAATACGTATATGTGTAAAAAGCGGGAACTAGCAGTACACGAACGTACATGACATCAATTTCAGAGGTTTGTCAAAATGGGAAAATTGGAAAAATAAGATGCAAATTTGTGCATAAAAATACTGAAAATTTTCTAGAACACAGTTGATTTGTGGAAAGTTGATGAGAGGTGCTGGACATCTACCAGCTTATAGTGGATTTTGAAAAACTTCTGTGGTAGCAAGACATGCTAACAGGACAAGAACACTTAGGCCGTGCATCATTTATTGTTTTTGAAAATGATCTTCCGATTGGCTGGATTCGAACCAACAACCCATCTAGCAATGTGAATCGCAGAGTATAACAGTCTAGTCATGTTATTGCCATCTAGTGGCAAAACTCTAAGGTAGGATCAAGAGATCGCGACACACACTGTATGGCGCTGCCACCTATAGTCACACGTACAGACCCTTACGTCTATACGCTACAGAGTAGTACTACAAGTAAACCACTATGCTGACAGATGGCACTACCTGACTTATATTTGAGTAGATTTTTCCACCGACCTATTCAACTGCTAGATCTCGTAACTAAGATATCCAGGATGAACAGAGTTGCCCCAATTGTCAGCAGGAGCGAGACAGTACTGTTTCGACCCACCAGGTCTCATCAGCCGGACTCGGTCTGCTGACAGCTCGGACAACTCTACGCTTCGGGTTTATCACACATTTCGAAGACGCAGGGTATAACATGAGAAGTTATAGTCATGTTGTAGTCATCTAGTGGCAAAGCTCTGAGTTGTGAGATTTAGCAGTTGAATAGGATTACTGGATTATTAGAATCTTTCGATGTCCACACTCAGTACGACCACACTCAACAGTAAACATTATCAAATTTGACATTTCACATTCTGTGACAAACACGTGACAGGAAACAACAAATTTGGTCACAGAACACTAAAATTATACACTGTTGCCAAGTGTAAGGGCTCCTTTTAGAAGGAATACTCAAGGGAGGTCTATAAAACAAGTTTGATGTCAAGTACTGAGGAGTCCTCAAGGAGTCCTCAGATAAGGAAGACTTGAGGAGTTCTTGAGGAAACGACCATAAATACGGGCCTAAAAAACACCATATTCTTATGAACATCTCAGTTATGTCTCACTGTTACTGCTTGTCGAGTGTCCGTACTCTCTCGATATACAGAAAACGTCAGAAGAGCAGTGTCAAGTACATTAAGGAACTCTAGTTTGAGGTACGTGAGAGACAGCTGCGACCCTCGGAAGGAATCTGCGGTAGAAAAATTGTACAAAAAGAGGATAAGCTCCAGCCCCAGCAGCAGGAGCTTCGAGGGAAGACGAAGTAGCAACTCGGTAAAAAGAAGAACCGCTTTTATGAACAATAACATCAAGAGATATGCTGAACGAACAGAAGTTGTGAATGCGGAGATGAGGAATAAGATAGAAGAAATATCCTTTTCGAAATATCGGTCAGTTGTTCATTGCGACAATTGCTATTTGTATAACGAAGGAGGAAAGTGCTACTTTCTCTCCCGAGGATGAAGTTCACTGCAATCATTCAAGGGAAAAAAGACACTTCACCTCCATGTTATACATATGATTTTTCCGCCTTCTCCAAATAACATGTCATTTTTGAATAATTCATTTATGAAACTAAAAAACAGAATTCATCAAGAACTTGAACTAATTAGGTACACTTATAGGCACATTATTCTTATTTTTGCATGCTACATATCTTCAATTTGTGGTTGAGTAATTGATCAGAATTCTGAATCTTGAACCACACTGTATATATATCTATCTACCAATAAAATGTCAGTAGATACTAACATCCGAAATTGAGATTGGGACATGTGAGCCGTTTTGACCAATAATGAATAAAATCGTGAAAAAAAATCCAAAATTTGAATCATTTCTACTAGACCCCAAGTATAAAAGATTGATGGAATCAGCTCTCCAGGGAGATTCTAAAAATGTATCGATATACAGGGTATTCCATTCAAGAAATAGCCACTTTCGTGTTATTGACACACCCTTTAGAACATGAGAATATTTTCAAAAATAAAAATGTTGAAAAAACCAAATGCTTCGTGTCGGATAACGTGAATAACCCTGTATAATAATTTGGGTCGTCAATTTCGTATGAGTTATTTCATTTATGACGTACCATGACGTCAGTCGTACTTTTTCTCCCTATGGAGGAAATGTACGAATTGTCTCGCTAAAATGAGGTAAATGTACACCTACTTTAGATAGAGGTAGGCGGAAAAATCATGATTCATGAAGCTCACAACATTTCACCCCATTCAGCCTCTGAATCAAATCTCATAACCACATGCACATAATTTGAGAGTTCGCAATGCTATCGATAGTAATTCTGTCCGAAATAGTCTAAGAGCCCGTGAACCTTTTATATAACGGTTTGTCTGTAAGGCTAGAAATTTGTATAGTGATGGATCAAAGGCTGCCTCACCCTTGCACGTCATGTTTCGAGTAAAATAATTTAAAAAATAAACTTGGCGCTATAAACTTGTAATTTCATCATGATCCTTTTAGGTATTGCAGAATATAGAAAAAAATTGACAAGCGATTCTGATGAGCAGGAGTAGTTGCCAGGCGAGTCCAAGAGTGCGCAAAAGAGGACTGAATATGAACTTTGCTCTTAGTGTAGTAGATATGCGATAAAAAATGGTTTCAGGTGGAGATGATTCCCACAAAATTTCCTTTTGCTTTTCACAGTTCAGAATGCATAGAATAACACATATGAGAAGATATAGAATGATACCTTTGTGCAAAATAAAAATACAGTGTTTCCAATATGCCTGCCATCCTATACCTGCCAATATAAAACATGAACCTAATAAAAATGGCATATTTGGCATGTAATAGGAGTTCATTCATTGTATTCAATTTCCTCGAATGTAATATTGGTACCTTTTCGAACAATAATTGCACAATACTGTGCAAAAAATTCCGTATCGTCGACATTTACATCTGCTTCCACAAGGTTCATCTACTTCAATTTTGCAAGTACTTCCGTTCTTCATCATATGATACAGAAAACCCAAGCTTATGAAGTTCATCGACAAGTAACCGAGATCGAAGATCCCGATGATACTACTGCACACCAACACCTAGACGAATTGAACTTATGATAGATCGTGGCCTTGCATCTTGCATTAGTGCCTGTTCAATTGAATTTTTCTTCAAACTTGAGGATTTTTTATTGATTTTTATATCCAAGAATGTTTTCAAAATGTCGGGTAAGAGCTCACTATTTTCCATTTTCCTGCTCGGAACTTATTTCTTCTGGTGAAGGATAAAACTCTTAGGATGTTCTCATCAACTTGATTAAATTCTTAATCAGTTCAGCTGTTGCTTCAACTATCCGAAAATTTTCAGCATCTGGATCTTCTGAACACTTTTGTCGCTGATAATCACAAATTATATTGGCAACTGTTTTCCCTGTTACGATCATATTAGCTCTACCTTTTTGTCTCAATATCATAATGTCATCCGAGAAATATTCTTCTAATTTTTTATGCATACGACGAACAGTATGTAAGGTTCGGTATTTTCTGGCAGCAGCTCTGCCATTTTGTCCTGCAACTCCTGAACTGAAATTGGTTCATCATTTTCCTTGAGCCACCTGCATATTTCTAAAAAGGCATCTTCTTTATTTTTATCAGAAGAACGTCCTGCTAACTTTGTCTGTTCATTGGGAATATCATGTTGATGTTTCTTAGGAATAGAGTCGCCTTTTCCAAAATTCACACTACATTTCTGATTATACAGAGCATCTGCTGCTGGCAAGTATCGATAACGGAAAGAAGACGTGGAAGGACATTTGATGATCAAAAATCGTTTCTTGCATCACACACATCAATAATAGTTTGTCAAAACGTGAAAGTTCGTACTGGTAAAATTGCAGATTTTATTATTTTCTCAGTTTCCTTGATGAATTGGCCACAAAATAAGCAATTATCTTTGAATGCGAATGTCGCCAGCTCAGGTCACAAAGCTCTGTTGCTGCTGCTGCTGCTGCTGCTGCTGCTGCTGCTGCTGCTGCTGCTGCTGCTGCTGCTAGTTGATGCTTCTCTATCGGGATCTGATTTAATGAACCCGAGATCATTCTTCATCTTGTTCGGATCTACGTACAAACGACGACATTCGACGTGAACAATTAGAGGATGAATATAGGCACTGGTTCCAAGAGTTCAATTATTTTGTCTTGCTGCTATACTTGCTAGCACTCTTAATTCCTTGAACACATTTGTCAGTCAATTTAACACAATTCGAACTATCATTAGTAGTTGACGAAAATAATAAACATTTGTTATCTTCCATCGCTGCTTTAAATTCACTATATTTAGGTTTATACCTGAAATAATATATCAAATAATGGAACCTTTTATTCACGATCACAGAGGATAGTTTCAATCACAAACCAAAATGATTGTTTCATACTTCGACACGAATTTTGAGATCTGCTAACCATATTATCATTTTTAGGAAGATTATGAAATTCGATTGAATCTTATCCTGAAGATCCTAACATAGGAAACGGAATATGTGTTGAGTTGTGGAACAATCATTTTGGTTTGTGCACCTGAAATATGAAAAGTTGCATTTAAACATTCTTGCATGAAAGAATGCATCTATATTTTATTTTTAATACATTATAGGGATTCCCTTTCGTGCGCTCCAAGCGATAAAAAAAAAAGATAAAAAAAAAAAAGGGGTCGAATGAGGCTTCAGAAAATGAAAACTGCGTTTTTGTGGAAATTATTTCCACCCCAATTCCTCCAACTGCTCTACTATCTGTAAGATTGAAATTCAGACACATGTCACTGTAGTCTTCATCTGAAAATGAAACATACCCATCTGTTAAACTCAAATATGCATTGATAATATTACCAATTTATTTGTTACCTGAAGTGTTCTCCTCATCAGGTGCATGGTTATTTTCTCCAGTTTCATTGGATTGTTCTGAAATGATTTCGTTAATAGAGGAAGGAACTGTATCTCCCTCAAACCAATTGAAATCATAATGCCCATCGACCAAATTCCAACCATTCTCTTCAGAACCGTAGGAACCTTTAAATTACTATTTCGCCATATACTTGTAATATATTGGGTTCTTAATAGTTGTTGTTGGAGTTCTAGCTAACATGGAGATGAATTATAACTGATTATTTCTTTCCGAATAAATTAGCATTACTCGTATTATAAGTTGCAATAAACTTCTCATAACGCGCTTCATTTACTTTGTCACATTTGATACCGTACATTTGACATACGAATTTCTCAATTAACTAACAACTAAAGCCTTCTCTTTTTCTCCTGATGATAATTGAGCATTTCCTGATACGGTAAAAGCCTTCTGATATTGAATATTTGTTCTCAATAACTCATAGGGTTTTCTTTTTTCCCTTCTGAAAAATGATGGGTTGAAATCGCAACCTGTAAACGCATGAAAACCTGGTATGCCTTGACATAGCGAGTAACCCAACTTTGTATACAATCCAGAAATATTCATATACTTCTCATTCATAAAAGCACCAAACTGGAGAAAACCATGCACCTGATGAGGAGAACAATTCAGGTAACACATAAATTGGTAATATTATCAATGCATCTCTGCATGAGTTTAACAGATATAATATGTTTTATTTTCAGATGAAGACTACATTGAAGAGTCGGATGATGAAGAATATTCAATTTCAGAAATTGTCATTGATCAACAAGTTACATTAGTGGATAGAACTTTTTTTTTTCAAAATTTTCTATCTCTCGCGCTGAAACGTATACTCGTATAGCATCTTCTTATGCTCTAAATATCTTACTTAGTTAAACATGTGTGTGAATTTCAATCTTACAGAGCAAAGTACATTTTCAGTCCTCTTTTGCGCACTCTTGGACTCGCCTGGCAACTACTTCTGCTCATCAGAATCGCCTGTCAATTTTTTTCTATATTCTGCAATGCCTAGAAGGATCATGATAAAATCACAAGTTTACAGCGCCAAGTTTATTTTTTAAATTATTTTTACACTTTGAAACATGTGGGGGATGGTGACGTGCAAGCGTGAGGCCTGCCAGGTTATGGTTTTCGTACTTAACAGCCTTTGATCCATCACTATACAAATTTCTAGCCTTACAAACAAACCGTTATATAAAAGGTTCACGAGCTCTCCAGCTAAAATCAATGGGATCCAATCGCTTGGTAACATCTTCCTGGATACCCACCTAATATCTGTTGAATTTTACTAAAAATTTTCAGGTCATCGGCATATATAGCGAAATTTAAAAAATTGAAGCATTGTTCAACATCACTAATAAATATACTGAATAGAATGGGGCCCTGACGTGATTTGGCATTTGGTAGATTTCACATTGTTCAGTGCTATGTACTGATATCTCTCATTATTAACTCGATTGTGTTGCCGTTCAACATCAACAACTCGTCCTGACGGACTCGTGTATGTTTGGGTACTGAACCCCATATTTGAGAACAGTATTCTAAAACTGGATGAATCTGTACTTTGTAAAGCATAAGAAGCTGTTGAGGTAGCGACAAAATCATTCCAAATATTCAGAACATCGTGATATCATTGATCTATTGAAATCACACTAATATTTACCTTTACTATATATATATTTCTTATTTATTTTAGGCAGTACATGGGATATAAGGATATTATTCCTCTACTCCTATTCAGAAAATGTAAAATTGAATGGGAATACCTGAAGATACCTGATCCACTATTCAAATATTATCTACTTGGATCATTTGGCTTGGTTATGCATGCATATTTGTTACAAAATCTCACACTGATTGAGTAAGTAGTACCTTTTTTGCGTGATATTCATTCATTGCCACTCTTGATACCACATCGATTGAACAAAAATAAATATATATAAATTGTCAGAAAAATCAGAAATTAAGAGAAACGATGAAACATTAAAATGGTAGTGATACATACAGATTGACATCTTTTGAAAATGTAAAATGCACAAGCCCAAGAGATTACTGTTTTTGTTTTTTTATTATGATGAATAAGAGAAAGCACATTGACAACATGTGAACATATATCAAAGTAGTGCCCTTCCTATATGTTGTTGAACGGATGTAGTTATACCATTTATTGGCTAGTTTGAAATAATCCACATACTTTAATTTCCCTTGAGTGTTGTGTTATATACCTAAGTAATTAGTTTTTTATTTCAATGTGTAGATGTAGATTCTATATCGCTACATCGTTTTCCATTAAAGGTACCTAATTTCAGTCTCAAATTTTGGGATGATCGAGTGTTATGATTCCTGTGTAGTGTATCAAGCAGATATATTGTTTCTGAAATGAAAATAGAAGTTACTGTGATTTGGAATGCATGACGAATCACGCGATTTTATTTCACAGGAATCTCTAATGATTCTATTTTGTACAAATTCTTATAATTATTACTGTTTGGTGCAGAATGCATAGCATAGCACAGGTTAGATTCGAACAGCTTCAGCTGTGGTAAAATCCAACTCACTCGATAATATTCTAATATTGTTCCATCCAGGGGATAATCTTTCGCACAAAATTCGTGACATGCTCGTTAAATTCCAAAATATTTTCGAAGTTTCTTAATTATTCAGTATTCCAGAGAAGAAGTTCAGAAGTAATTTCCAGATAATATTTCAATTATAACCACTCACTTCCTTAGACACTAAACAACATACAGGGTGACATAATATAGTTCTTATCAGAAATAAAGTCTCATTTCATTCAACACTCCTACTCTTAATGACTGATGAGAATTAAACACCTCTCAATTTCAAAGTTCTTAGGAATGTTTTTCTCGGCATTGCTTCAGTGAATATATCTGCGGATTTTTTTCTGTGGGGATGTATGAAATCATCAATGAACCATTTTCGACCAATTCTCTAATATAGTGGTACTTCACATCAATATACGCTTGGCACGTCGATGATGTTGATCAGCATTCTTCACCAAACGTGTATTGTGCTCTGATTATCAACCATCAATATTGTAGGGTGATCCATAGGAATATTGAATTCCATTAAAAACTGTCTGAACCAAACACCTTCTTGAGTTGCTCCAGAAGCAGCTACATACTCTGATTCAGTTGTAGACCGTGAGGCCAGTGTGCTAATGTAGCCACTTGTTGAGCGTCGTGTATCGACAACCCCAGCAAAATCTGCTTCAGAAAAAGCTGTCAGGTTTGTTTCCCCTCCAGAGTTCATAATGCCGAAGTTCTTTGTCTCAATGGACAAACTATACCTACAACTTCTCGATAAGGAATTTCTCTCATTCATGATTTTTCTTCATAATTTCAAATACACATATGTTGCAAGCTGTTATTTTGATCTGTAGGTACAGCACAAGGTTTGCAATCTTGCATGTTGAATTCCTTCAGAACGTTAATGACGTAGATTAGATTAGATTTGGAATGGGGCCTTCGGGCTATCTGCCTCCACACTGCGACCTTTTCAGATCTATTGTGTCTGCCCTCAAAATCGATTAGAGTTCTTCGGCTAGCCCCGCCTTCTCTATGAGACTCTATAGGCTAGCTTTCAGATCTCCTGTGTATCTCTGGGCTCCTGGTTTTTCCTCACGCAGCGTAAGGAACCTTATAGTCTTGACAAGCCCTCACAGTGGCAAAGTATGTGTACTGCTGTTTCTTCCTCTTCTTGACAGAACCTGCACAGCAGTTCTTCAGTCAGACCTATCGTACTCATGTGTTTGTTGAGCCTACAATGCCCTGTGAGAAGTCCCACTAGTATTCTAGTTGAACTTCGTTTCTGGCTTAGTAGATATTCTGTGAATGTTGGCGATGGTTTTTCAATAAACTCTTTTGCCTGTCTCATTCCTGGCGAGTTGTTCCACCTTTCTTGAGATTTAGTTTGCATCCATGATTTGATACTAGTCTTTTGTATAGCTTTCGCAATACCACAGAAGGGTTCTGGGCCATTAAAAGCTTTGTTTGCTCCTGCTCGGGCAAGTGAGTCTGCCTCTTTATTGCCCTCGTACCCTGTATGTGCTGGTACCCATGCTAGAGTCAATCTGTTCTGACTGCCCAGTGCATTCAGGGTTTCTAAGCAGTCCCATACTAGTTTTGAGTTAACTTGCATAGAGTTGACTGCTTTGATTGCCGCCTGGCTATCTGAATAGATTGCAATGGTTTTGCCTTTAAACTCTTGCCTTATCAATTCTTTCACGCAATGATGTATTGCAATAATTTCTGCCTGAAACACCGTTGCGTATTTGCCTAAGCTCAGTGAGGTTCTTGTCTTTGGCTTGGCCCCAGTAATACCAGCTCCTGATCCTTCCTCAGTTTTGGAGCCGTCCGTATAGACAGCAATGTCTGCATTGATAGGAGGTCCTTCCTTCCATGCCTCTCTGTACGTTATAATGACGTAATTCGGTTGATTAATGAAATGATTCTCCAAAGGACCCCGCACATTTAGTACGTAAAATGGCTTTCGGCTAAATTTTCTGAAAATTTGATATGTTTAAGACATTATCGTCCTTATCACACAGTCCAATTTACAGATCGATCCTATGACCAGTTTTCGAGCTACAGGGTGTCAAACATTAGATTTAGGCTGTTTAGAATATTTTGCATCAATTTGAATTATGTGCTCTAAGTCGTGATTATTCTTCAGTAGGAATGAACTCTTCACGTCTAATATCTACCCCATGAATCCCTCTATTCGGTTAGAGGATAATATCACATACAGAGTATTGCATTCCATCATGACAAGGTAATATTCTTGGGAAAAGACAAATATTGAAAACATCAGAATTTTGATTTTTACTCAATCACTGAAAACTTGAAAACAAACGGCTAGAATCGGCCAATTATCTGACACAGTATGGGTCTTGATCATCAACGTAAGGATTTATATGATTACCTCTGATACCATGTCCAATTGGCCATACATAGGGTGATGACAATTTGAAAGCTTATAGAATTGATGTAACTCAGGTACAGAATGAGATACATTTCTATAATATATGAAGTGGAAAATGAAATGTCTCATGAAATAACCCACCCCCACCAAGCCCCTGATGAGTCACAACCACCCCAACGCATATCATCTCAATAGAAGCCCCTACTTATTGTGATACCTCATTGAATAGCTTGGTGAAGATACATTCCACTGGTATTATTATTGATATCTCGAACTGGGTGAACCAACAAAAAATATTTATTAGGTACCTATATCATTCTGCTGGGGTGACGTATTAATTTTATAACTTTTGAAAAATAAATCGTGAATATCGAGCACTATAGAGACATATTGCTGAAATAGTTATATTCAGATGATTTGAAACAAGTATTTGTGTACAGTAGATCGGTGTAGCGAGAGAACACGGCGATGAACAGAATGTTTAGTCCAGGTAAGTACCTAAATGATTATGTTTTCATAAGATCAAAATTATGTTGAACAATTCGACTAGGTATAGGTAATATTTCAATTAGCCAATTCTCGAATATCATCCAAACATCTTTGGCGGATTTATGTTGATTGGAGAGGTTTCGAATAATTATTGTCTATATAGTTCAATGAGTGTTTTGTAATGCACATAACAATATGCAAAAATAACCGCATGGATGAAATATATATAGTCTTCAAGCAGATCTGGATAGTGAACGATCTCTGCTGAATTCCAGCGAAGACCCAAGCAACAATATTTTCGGAAATCGCCATCAACAGTGCGACCCATTATGTACTATCATTCATGGCTTGTGCCTATCAGTTCATCTATAGCAATGCTTGATGTCATATTATGGTATCTGACAACTTGTCTCAATACGACCATCTCGCCAGAATGTGAGCCACAATGTGAAAAATATCTATCAGCAGCTTTTGACAATCATCAAAATGCAAATTCTCTTGAGAATTAAAACATAGCGGACATGTCACAGTTTTACAACTTCTATCTTGGAGATGTTCTGCTGGATTGAATGGAGCTGTGTCCTTACCGTCTGACCAGCTCAGGTTAGGTGAGGTTAGGTTAGGTTAGGTTACTAGAACATTCTGTAGATTTTAGTTTCCTCTCGCTTCACTAGCCAACTGTTCACATAGCAATTTAACTTTTATGGTTATTTATATAATGCTCGATAATAACGATTTTTTCCCATACCACAAAAAGTTACGGAATTAATACGTCACCCCAGCAGAATGATATAGGTGATGAATATTTTTTATTAGTTCACCCAGTTTGAGATATGAATAATACCACTGAAATGTATTTTCACCAAGCTATTCAATGAGGTATCACAATAAGTAGGGGCTACTATTGAGATGATATGCGTTGGGGTGGTTGTGACTCATCAGGGGCTTGGTGGGGGTGGGTTATTTCATGAGACATTTCATTTTCCACTTCATAATATATTATAGAAATGTATCTCATTTTGTACCTGAGTTACATCAATTCTATAAGCTTTCAAATTGTCATCACCCTATATATGGCCAATTGGACATGGTATCAGAGGTAATCATATGAATCCTCATGTTGTCTACTGTGTCAAATAATCGGCTGATTCTAGCCGTTTGTTTTCAAGTTTTCAGTGATTGAGTAAAAATCAAAATTCTGATGTTTTCAATATTTGTCTTTTCCCAAGAATATTACCTTGTCATGATGGAATGCAATACTCTGTATGTGATATTATCCTCTAACCGAATAGAGGGATTCATGAGGTAGATATTATACGTGAAGAGTTCATTCCTACTGAAGAATAATCACGACTTAGAGCACATAATTCGAATTGATGCAAAATATTCTAAACAGCCAAAATCTAATGTTTGACACCCTGTAGCTCGAAAACTGGTCATAGGATCGATCTGTAAATTGGACTGTGTGATAAGGACGATAATGTCTTAAACATATCAAATTTTCAGAAAATTTAGCCGAAAGCCAATTTACGTACTAAATGTGCGGGGTCCTTTCGATTCCGATGAAAACTTCTGGTATGAAAATCTTCATCTCAAATCTAGATCCATGCAAGCTCTTGCAATATTCTGTCCATCAAACTTCTTCTGATGAAAATTTTGCATAGAAAACACATCTGTTCCAATCCAGTTGATGGAACTTGAGAGTTTTCAAAAACCCAACAAAAGTTTCATTCCAGTTACGTGGCGATTGTTCGAACTGTGAAAATGACGCAAAACCGAAGTGTGTGACTGTAAAATGATCATTTTCGCTGGGTATTTTGCGAAATAGTAAAAAAATAATCACGCCGTATTATATTCGTGATGGTATTTTTTTTTCAATTCTAACTAAACTAGCACTCTCGTTCTTGTCGCTATAGAAATCTCACGAGTGGACGAAGTCGTGCATCGGGTTAAAATTATCAAAACAGTACTATCACTTGTGTAATCACTGTTGAAAATGTTCAGTTGGTACCAAAAATATACAACACTCCAATTCCTGTCTCGCATTGCTAGATAATTCTTCCGAATTTCAGGCCGAATTTGATTAATTGACATCTTCTGAGAAAATGTGCCGTTTCAGGTGGGACCGAGCAACTTGGACTTTTTTGGGAACTGCATCATTGATACTCCTTGCATTGCTACCATCATCTTGGGCACAATGTTTTTATTACAAATATATAACCAAGCATGTGAATGAACTACCCAAGAATAAACTGGCACTTTATTTATGCGCAGCATCTAAACATATATCAAACAATGTATTTTTGAGGTTGACAATTTTCTCACTTGTTTACATCCTGTTTTTCGCTTGCGTCTACAATGAGTTAGTAAGTTTTTCTGAAATTCAGAACAGTCTTCCCAATTCGAACTTATAGTTTATTTTCAGATGGACTGCAAACACAGCATCGATGATAGTCCTGCACGAGACACTAGATTGCCACTTTCTGATTTTAAGCCACGACAGGATGTTGACTGCGTATTGCCTTGGGTGAGCAAAAATATTGAAACATGTCTAACCATTTCGTGGGTCATCTCAGGTAATGACGTATCTAATTAAAATCGGAATTTGAGATATACTTCGTCAAATGACTTATATTCTCATACTCCATGATCTCACGAAGTAGAGTTAGCTCAACATTCATTGGTTTCCGTGTCATCAAATATCGAATACTCAGCCTATCTCAAATAATTCGACTACCAAATCTCACGAAGTGACCTAACTGTGAGATTTTCAACAGTGACGAATGTCATAAACGCATAAACCGGTTTGCCACGGAAATTAAAATTCCTCGGGTGACGTCTCAAGGTACTGAGAGGGTTATTGTAAGGTATTATACATATGTCGAATTGATTTCTGTGTTTTTTATCAATAAAAATTAATATTCGGATCTGATACAATGATAATTGTCAATGGAAACACTTGGTCAGAATCAATCATGAATGCTGAAAAAGCTATAGCAATAGTTAAAAATAATCTAGATTTTGACTTATTAACTTTAAATTTGAATAAAACAAAATTCATGACTTTCTCCTGTTATGAAGACTCACAACCAAACAATATAACAGAGTTGACAATTCATGATATAAACTGTTTCAAAAATATATCCAAAGAATCAAAAATGAATTGTTCATGTACCCACAAAATAAATAAAGTTGCTTTTATTAAATATCTTGGAATTTATATTGATCAACATTTAAAGTGGAATCATCACGTTTCAGAACTTACTAAGAAGCTCAGAAGTACTCTTCCAAAATTCAGATTTTTACGAAATATTGTTAATAGAAATTTAATCATAATGTTATATCATGTACTTTTTCAATCTATTCTGTCATATGGAATCATTGGATGGGGTGGTATGTATGAGACTCATCTCAAACCATTATTAAGTATTCAAAAATATGTTTTGAAAATAATTTTTCGCAAACCTTTGGATTATCCATCATCCTCATTATTTGTAGATAATCATATACTGAATGTCAAACAATTATTTTATAAAGCATCATTGAATTTCTTGAAAAAAAACACTGCATTTAGTAATAAAATTAGTCACAATTATTGTACAAGAAATGATAATGTTCAACTTGAAAAACATAATCTCAAAATCATGCAAAACCATAGTAGTTTTATTGGGTCAAAAATTTTTAACAGAGTTCCATCAAAATTGAGACGTTTGAATATTGTAACATTCAAAAAAAAAATTAAAATTTGGTTTTTGGATAATGCAAAAGAAATTGATAATCTCTTCAAATAATTTTTTTTTTTTTTTTTTTGTTTGTGTGCTTTGTATATATTGAATTTATAATCAATATTTAATCTAAATATTTTTAAGAACTTGAAAATTTTTTACAAAAAGTTTATAATAATTATCTAATTCACACACAGGTCAATAACCTATGTGAAGTAGATAAAATTTAGAATTTTTATAATATTAGAATATGTATGTCTTTGTAAATGTATTCATATGAGAATAAATAAATAAATAAATAAATATTTTTTGAATTCACAATCATATTTTTTTCTCCGTTTTTAGCGATGCTTTTTCGAAATCTCACCATATCATAACAACTAGTTCTACACCTTTTCCAATTTGAGTTCAAAAATGGCCAATTGTATTTCAAAATTGTCGCCTTGATTTCAAAAAGCATCATTTGTATTTCGACTCAGTTAATTTAATTTCAAAAAGAATCAAATGTATTTCAAAGTTATAAATTCAGTTTCAAAATGCGTCAATTGTACTTCAAATTAGTCATTTTGATTTTATAAAACCACAACTGTATTTCAAAATTATCAAATTAATACCAAAAACAAACACTTCAAATTCCAAAATAGTCATTTGTATTTCGAAAAATATCAAATGTATTTCATAAAGCATCATCTGAATTTCAAAACTGAAAAAACACAGGCAAAGGTTAGATGGGTGATAGGTGATGTTTTCATTCACCTTGTTATTGGAACGCTTCTGGTTTCTGATTCCTGTCATTGTGGCATCATCAATAAAAATGATTAGTTTTGAAATTGAAATGATTGATTTTGAAATTCAAATGGATTTTTTCGAAATTGAAATGACTAATTTGAAATTCAATTGACGCATTTTGGAATTGGATTGATAAGTTTGAAATACATTTGATACTTTTCGAAATTAAAATAACTAATTTGAAATGCAAATAACGTATTTTGAAATCGAATTGATAATTTTGAAATACATTTGATTTGAAATTAAAATGATCTTTCATGAAGAAACCTCTGAGTTATGAGCGAATTAATATGTTGAAAATCTTTGAATTGCACTCCTGTAAAGTTAAGAAAACTGATATACGTCATTACGTGAGATGACTGTCGATATATTTCGACAACTAAGTTGTCATTTTCAGCAGATTCTAGAATTTGAGGAGCAAGCAACGGTATTATATTCGATTATGACCTGTTTTCTTTTTCAGCATATGACAGAAACCTGTATTATGACAGTAGTCATGTCATTTTTATTCTTGAGGATTTTCATCTGGCTGAAACTTGTCTACGGGATTATCGTTTTGTCCTTTTATAGTTACTGTGTGATCATACTAGACAAAGGATATTATGAGGTAAGTGCGGTCAAGAATTTATAGTGAAATTTTTTCCCAACATAATTCCGTTACCCATCAAACGGCGGAATAGCGCAGTGGTTGAGGCTTTTGCTGGATTCGAATCCCAGAGCAGAAAATTTTTATTTATAAAACACGTTATGAATCCAAATTTTCGTAGCCTCGGCCGGAGATGATTCGCTGTTGCGCCCCAATTGAGATTGCTGCTCCTAAGGTGACATATGAAGCTAGTAACAAAGCCTACACAAGACACACATGGCTGAACGACCTCTCGTAAGGTCGATGGCCTGGTAGTGTGTGCATACACACCGATAATGTACATAACAATATATTACTACTACCACTGTTACCAATCGTGCCATAGAAGTACTATCGATATTATACAACAATAGAAATTAATCAGAATCATCCTGAACATATCAAGTCATGAAAGTTCTATATCGAATATTTTTCTTGGAGTAATACTCATATTGGACTTTATATACAGATTGTCACTTAAATATTCGGCCAAACTTCACGGAGCGATTTTTCGAAAAGTGTGTATACACATAGCTTCAAAAATGCATAGTTTTCAAGATTCGGAGTGTTAAACTCTTTTAAAAATCGGTTTTTCGTAAATGTAGTTATCGCTGAATGTGAGGTGAGGGACTATTACCACTATAAATAACACTGCAAGATATTTAAATAAAATTATGGATTCAAGGTCTTTGCGATATTTACGGAAAATCTATTCATCAAAAACACGTTAGACAACCTTTATCTTCTTTACATGAACTTTTCGACTTAGAACTGTTGAGTTAGCCATACATTGCACACTCGATTTTCAAAAATTAATGAATGTGATAGTGTGATCGAGTATAGCTTAGTTTAAATACATAAGAATTACCCCATCTTCGTATGAAATCTGTCAAACATTCCAAGATAGTGTGTCCACATATGATAGATGTATAGGAAGTCAAATGGTGTTAACACTTCCTATTGTTTCGAAATCTCACGATATTGCCTACTTTGTAAAAATAACGAGGCGTGGAAGAATCTTGCTAAATTTTCGAAGTTTCAGACCAAATTTACAGTCATCATGACACAATCATTCTAGTTCACAATTTGATTTTCACATTTTTTTATTCAAATGGAAACGGTGGGTCATATTTTCGACTTTCAATGGTGAAATCATGAACTAACTCAAGAAAACCCTGTGATAATAGTTAATTTACTCATTTTTGGTACATGAAATAAGACGAATGTTCAGATTTTCTGATGCTCCTTACACATTTCAGCAGTCAGTCCATGATGAAAGCACAATACACTCACTCAACTAATAGTATAATATTATATAATATATATATATAATATTGATACCTCACACCTCACGTTTTTAGTACAAGTGTCAGCCGAAAAGAGGGCAGCAGCATCCAGGGTCACTATTAAATTCTGCCTCAAAATAAGCGCGAAATAATCAATTAAAAAGTGTCGTTACCAACTCAAGCGTTCTCCCTATTTCATTTATCATAAATTAATGCAAATCTAACTAATATCACTAATGAGAAGTTATACTAAATCATGTAATAAAACTAAACAGCTGATAAGGATCTTCAGGATGAGGAAATAGTTGACATCCAGAGAGACGGTAGTATCTTGTACCACGTACTCGTATGAAATAAAGTTTCCGGAAAGGAAGCCTAATAAACGGTTACGGCGGTAGTTACAAAAATCAGAAAAGCTGAAGTTTTTGCTTTTGAAGTTAGCAAAACTAAAAAATAAAAAATAAATTATGAATAAATCCCTTCATGATAAGTCCCAGGAACATATAAATAATGTAACATTTATGTTTCAGGAAAGTGAAACTTTCAACTATTCGATGCCTCCGCAAGTAGCTCACATACTCGGTACTGTATTTTTGACATTCACTCTTCATTTAGTTGACAGACAGACTGATTACATGAACAGGTTGGATTATCTATTGAACAGAGAAGTTAAATCTGCTCAGGAAAAAGCAAATGAACTTCAAAAGGTCAATGAAATCTTGCTTCTCAATATATTGCCAAAACATGTAGGTATGTAATAAACAATTTCAAACGTCTTCATGTGACATGAAAATATTCAACTCCACTTAGTGATGTATACAGGGTGACCATTTGAAAACGAAACAGAGCCAATTTTGGGCACCCCAGGTCATTTACGAAAAAACGCTCAGATCCGTAAATTTTTTATTTCAAGGAAAAATATTGTTTTGCCAGTTTCATTCTCTGAAAGAAAACCCTAGGCCCTAGGGTGAGACCCATCCCTAAAATCATAAATCGAAAGAGGGATGATATCTCATTTTGAAGGTATTTTTACCTATATTATGACCCCCGAGTTTTACATCGCTATACTATCTAGGTAGCCCATACAGTGCCTTACCAAAAGTACTAAACCAGCTCGTAAAAATTGCGTATGAAAGTCCACATTGATAGTTGAAAACGGAAGATTGATTATGTGCAGCCGTAACTTTGTTTTTTTTTATTTGTTTACATTAGCCATATCATCATTTTCAGAAAGTGTTCGAAAATATAGGCCTTAGCCCTCAGGGATATCGAGGCCTTTCCCGAAATTCCAGTTGATGAGAAACTATAGGTAACCTATGTGAATTCAAAATTTTTCAAACAACGCTGACAACAGCGGCGACAACCGATATTATTGCACAACGTCCTAAAATAAATGAACGAGAGAGAAGCTTTTCAAATTCGAAGAGACTAAAAACTCATCTAAGAAATCCTTCGACTGATGAGCGTACAACAAGTTCAGCCCTAATGAGTACTATTCATCGTATCATCCAAGCCGATACTAATGAAATTATTAATATATTTCGCCAAACCAATCGACGAATTGTACTTCAATTGTATAGAAGTAAATATATACCATTTTGGGTAAATGAAATGTTCTTTAATAAAACATAGTATACGCTCTCAGGGCACGGGACCCTTCATTTATTGAGAACCCGTTTATTCTGAATTTTGGAACTCTCGACTATGGGCATTGGACAGTTTAAGGAACAGTATCATTTAATAAAATAATTTTTCAACTCCAAGTAAGTCTAGCACAAAATAGGCAATCCTTTCATTTCAATATCATTTGTTTTTGTATTGTAGACTTTTCAATTAGGCTGAAGATGGTCTTTTATAAGACCGAAACATGTCCCTCATGATTTAGTTAAAAATATCATTAAAATTTGTGGAGATGACTTCGAACATTCCTTCCTTTCTGTGATATATATAATTACCTATTCGCCATTTTATTAGACTTTTGTTTCATTTTATTATCTTCTTCAATTTGTTATTTCTTTTCAATAAATAAGCCTAGATTTACTCATTTATTGATTTAATTAATTTTTCCTCGAAAAAAACTCTCAAAATCAGGTGTGGGCCCCCCTAGGTCCGAAAGTTTTTCCGGAAATGACCTAGGGTGCCCAAAATCGGCTTTGTTTCGTTTTCAAATGGCCACCCTGTATATAGGCCGTTAGCAAGTTGTATTGTCAAGTTTATTCTTAATAAATTTTTATTTCGAATCAAAAATGTAATTAGAATCATACTTTAAATTGAACATTCATGAATACGGCGATTCATTCCTGAAACGGTGGTATATTATACGGTGGTGCGGTGGTCCAAAATTGGTCTTCCAAATTTTCGAAGGAGATCAATACACTGAAAGAGCTACTGATGTGTTAAAAAAACATTAATTTGTTCTCAAGAAACCTGTGGATTTCATTTCAATTACCATCATGAGTCATCTGCAAGTAAACATATAACGATTTAATCAATTTAACAGAAAAAAAACCCTTATTACTCAAATTTTACAGCTAAAGTTTATCTGGATGTGAATCGAGAGCCAACCGATCTGTACTATGAAGAGCACAATGATGCAGTAGTCATGTTTGCCTCCATTATTATGGATGATGATTTGCTGGATGTTCTGAAGGACTACAAGTTTCTTTCACTCATGAATATTTATATACATTCATATGATACGGTATGAGTTTCCAATTCCCAATATCTACTTTTATACAATATTACACGAACAAATCTCGACAGATAATGACATTATATTGTTTTTCCACCACTAACCTGAGAAATCACCATAATTCGAGCCATTCGAGGGTTTCCTCTAATGAGAAGTAATACTTTTCAAACCTAGGTAAATAATGATGAATTGATAAAGAAATTGTACCTAGATAGGAAAAGACTGTCAATACTAGTGATATTCTGTCATTCTGAACAAACTGACACATTTCACTTGAACTGAACTGAATCATTGGAAAGAAATACTCTCAAATATAATTATGAACACAAAAAAATGGGTATATACCGGGTGGCTACGGAAGTATTGCCTACGGAATATCTCAGTTATTGTATGAAGTAGGTTTGTGAAATTTGAAGCGTCGATATAATGACAGGAGAGCTAGAATTTGAGCATATTGACATGTCGAAGTTAACTTCCGGTCTGACCGGAAGTAACATCAACTTTCTTATTTTATATATATATTTTGCTCAGAGGCATCATGTATAAGGATTGTATCTCAAATAATATTTCATGTATCATAGGTATCATGTATGCATCGTATTTTGTCGAAAAACTCTGTCATTAATTTATTCATATTCATAGATAACAAATAGGCCAGAATTCCGTTCCATCGAGAAAATAAAAATTGCCAAATGGACCTATATGGTAGCTTGTGGTCTGAACCCAGGCGGTAGGGTGAATGATTTAGAGAAGCATTATACTACGTCCAATTTATCTACGCTACTTGGTTTTGCCACAGAGATGTTCAAAACCACAAAAGATCTGAACAGGAAGTTGTTTCAAGACTTAAAATTGAGGATCGGTAAGTTATTCTGTCTATAAAATCTCCTATTTGGATCAAAATTGGCCCTGGCTTTCCATGTTGTTCTTGAATTTATCACTCAGTAATTCTACGACTTTTCAAGCGGGGCGCCAAAATTGTGTACCAATAAAACTTAGTTTTGTACAATAAAAATTATTGTACAATAAAAATTTATTGATTGTACTTATTTATCTTTATTTTGCCTATGAGCTGCTCTAATTTCGGGAGGTCGTGAGTAAGTGAAAGCTGTTAGCAAATCTGAATCCTTTTTTAGATAATTACTAGATAATATGAGATAAGATATACGTAAGATAAGATAAATTAGATAAGGTAAGATAAATGAGCGCCATGTATTTTATTCCTGGTTAAAATACAAAAACCAACAATCTATGCAAGAAGAACAGTAAAACAAATTCACAAGCTTAACAATTTAATTTCATGTGAAATTGACTATGTATTTACAAGAAAATATATATATACAAAAATGTTGCAAAGTTTTGATTGAAATGAAGTTGGGACTTGTTTTCGAGCAATGAGGGACACTTACTCCCATCGAACTTCTTCCTGAAGAGTTTCCTGAATTTCTGGATGGTTCTTTTCCCTCCTGTCGGACCTTGACATCTCCTTGGTGAGTGAGTTCAACTACTCAGTTCATCGAACTACTTCCCCACCAGGTGAACTTCGGTTAACTCGTCTGTCCCAGGAGGTTTCCTTCTCTGGAAGTCTTGCAAATCCACTGGATAATGTTGCAGGAAATCTTCGTTTCTTGCTGCTGTGCTAAAAGCAATAGAGCGAACAGAATCTGTCTGATACATGATTTTAGAAGATCGTGAAACCTCAATGGAGTGTCAAAAGTGCCATCAGACTCAAAACAAGTCTTGCAAGTTCTTCAGAATTTTACAAAACTGATAATAACCAGTAAAGATAAAGTGATCATATATACAGATATTCATCAGGAAGTAATATATACAATGATATACAATATAGGGAAAGATAAGATAAAATAAGATAAGATAATATTTAACAAGAAGAGAATTGCAAATTTGACAAACATCCATCCTAGAGATAATGTAAGAAACATTGTATTAAAAGATGCAATATTACGCAAAAAGATAAATGACAAATTCGATAGAATCAGATACACGATATGGAATGAAAGATAAGACATTTTGGATACTGCGATTTTCAATCAAGTAGGTAATTCGGAGTTGTTTTAAATTCAATTAGTTAAGAAAAAGATATATCGACTAGCAGATAAGTGAATGGCATCAAGTTAAGTAAATAAGATATTCAAGATATTGAAGTTTATTTCTATTTGAAAAGGTAGGTAGCTTTTAATCTTGCAGATAAATCAAATTAATTATTCAATCGAACTTATAATCTTTATGAAACACGATTTTCTAGCCAACAGAGTGGATTGACATGTTCTTCAGTGAGCAAGCAATATTTTACAACAGATATGACATATAGTCTTGATTCATAAAAGTTTGCTACTCACCTCAGAACGTAGTCAATCCTGGATTCAGCTCAGAAAATCCTGTTTCCTCAGACTACAGATATTCAGTCAGTTCCATTATCAGAATGCCTCCAATGCTCTAATATCTCCAAATTTGGTTTTCACCTCGTGAAATAATTTGACATCTGGAAGGATCCAATGGAACTGAAAGCAGAAAAAATCCGACAGAAACTAACTTCATAATAATTACAAGTTCTACAATTTCTCTTTGATCACTGAAAAATCAAAAATACACTCATGAAATACCCGTTCATGAGTTTAAAGATAAAATTGGTCAATACTAGTCCTTTCTATACTAGGATGATATTGCCAATCAAAGATAAAGGTAAAGATAAAGATAACGTGAGACCACATGGTGTCTCACCAAAGGAAAATCAATCACATGATTTTTATAATGAAGAAAAACAATTTCCTCAGTAAATAGAAATAAACTTCCTAGGTAATAGAAAATATTTAAGTTAGAATTTATAATGAAAAGAAAACAATATTCAAAAGCAATCCATTCAGTTACCTGTAGTTTTGTTCATTTCAGAAAAAGTTGCTCGACGTCTTATCTCTAGGATGGATCTTCGTCAAAAGAGAGCGATTCTTCGTTTCTATCTCCCTGCTTAAATTATTCCGCTCGGAATAAATTCGATAATACAGTGGTGTTGCCAATTTTACCAAAATTACAAGAAACTATTTCATTCAAAAAATACAATTTCAATTTACCACCTTTCTGTCGAATATACATTGAGAAACATATGAAATAATACACTGAGAGTTGGAACAAGAATTCAAGCAGACATAGATAGGGAAAATGAGCAGAAAAATGATTTAATTAGCTGAATGAAACAAGCCACAAGCACAAGGGTCAGAAACACATGAAAAGCGACAACCATGTGCCGTGCATGAGAGATCATGTGGTATACTTACCTGTCGAATATCAGCTAATAAACCAATCAGCGAGCTCTCACGAAAAACAGTATACGAGGTAAATGAAAAGTATCACCGAAAAGGAACGAAAATTCACAAGTGTGAGATTTTTCGTTACAAATTAATCAGAGAAGACACACACTCAGAAAGTCAGGAATGTATGAAATTAGTTGTAATGATTGTGATAAAACATATTAAAATATATATAGGCCAAACCAGGCGTCCCATAAAAACAAGGTTCAAAGAACACTCAGCACATTCGAAATATGGTTGGTTGAATAAATCGTGTGTAGCCGAACACATGTTTAATCACAATCATAACACACATATTAATAACCTCAAATTAGTTGAGCAAGTTAATAATGTTAGAAAATTAGGTGCATATGAAAGCTTAGAGATATTTAAGAATAGTAATAGAGTCATGAATAAGGATAATGGACCCATCCCATTTAGCCCTCTGTATAGTTTAGTAATATAACATGTGAACTCAACCATGAATAAAATTAACCTGGCGGTTATTGTCTATACACGATTGGGTGGACATGTACTTAGTATATAAGTGACCCACTAGGATAGAGAATTTAGTTTTAATCTTCTCCTGAAGATGTTAACATAGTTAGCGAAACACGTGTCGAGGTGTAAAAAATCGGTTTGGTTAGTGGTAAAACAGTGTGTAGAGTCTACAATAATGTTTCCTAACATTTTTTGAGAGGGAGCTGCTTCACCATCTAATATAGTATACAGTGTGTGCTATCTATCAACTCGTAACACCTTCCTAATATGAAACTTTTCTATTCTATAGTAAAATGTGGACAAATCTGAAATATGATCTAATATTTGTAGAAGCGGTCGGAATTTCAAAAACAACTATTAGGCATTTCTTCCGAAAAGGTGAATAGCCTCCTCTATTCAGGCATAGCTGAAATATCCCTGTAGTGAATTTCAGCGCAATACTTGATATATGGTGTTACTTATTCAATGGCGAATTTTAATATTTTTGCTTCTTCAATTCACCCTGTATCAAAATCTGAAGAGTTGATATAACCGGTGAAGTAGTCATTCAGTAAAGAAACACATCGAATACTCAGATACGAAGTTTAATCTTTGTAACTCGTACAGGAAGGTCATGATCCTTAATATATTTTTCCTAAATATATGAACAATATACAGGGTGTCCGTTTCTCGAGCTCTACCATGGGGATCTTGGTTATTATAAGAGATACGAGGTCGGTTAAATTAGGACAAAGTTGCGCATTTTCATGATGAACAGTTATCTGCAAGAAAATTTGATCTGTCATTTTTAGATAATTCAATTATTGGAAGTACCCGAAATTTGTAATTTTTATTTTTATTTTTTCAAGAGGAAACCAAGAAACTTAGACGTGTCTGATCGAGACATTCTTAGGGCACTCAAGTAATCTGAATCTGACATCGTATTTTTCATGACGTTCCTGATGTCAAAGTTACAACACTAAACTTTGTTTTTTCTTATGAGCGCCATATTAGATTAGAAGGGTATAAATTTAAATCCCGCACACACTTGTATATCCACCTAGGATTGAACAATTTTCACTTAAAATATCACGAGAGCTTCAAATATTTCCGGAAATTTTTTCGAGAACACGAATTTTCTAAATATTCGTGTTCGAGAAAAAACTCCCGGATATTAATTGAAGCTAAAGTGATATTCGGTAAGAAAATTTCACACTGAAATATTATATTGCAAGTATACCTACATGATATTATATGGTGAACTGTTGATAAAATGTAAATATCATTTAACCTACAAACGTCAAAATATTTCCAGTGTAATTTCATGCTCCGTCCCCGAAGGAGGAAAAAAAATTCCAAGAAATTTGTTTAGTTGCTATGGTAACGATACGAAATACAGGCTTCAAATTGATCGAAAATGTTTATTGTGAAATTTTCAGCTGAATTTGTAATTATACTGTGACTCTCTGCAGATGAACAAGATCATATTGTCCACACATCATTTCGTCAGTAGGTCTTGAAAATAATTTTAGCTTCATTCATTAGGGGTTTGTCATGGTACCATCGTGGCTGGAGTAGTAGGATCCAATAAACCTTTGTATGACATTTGGGGCAACCCAGTGAACATGGCATCCCGAATGGACAGTACCGGCATACCAAACAATATCCAGGTGCTAGAAGAAACGGCAGAGATTATCCAGAAACTAGGTTTCGTATGCGAATATCGCGGATCTATACCCGTTAAAGGTAGAAGCGGCTTGGTGAAAACCTACTTCGTGAAAATGGACGATCAATTCAATCTTGTGAGGAGCCTCGAAGATCCATAATGCAGTTTTTTCTATGATATTTTTGAATACTCACCATTCTTAGCACACTGTCAGTAATATTGAGACAGAATTTATAAGCATCTTCACAGTTCTGGCGAATGTTATTGAAGAAATCATTGTTATCAATCTATTGCTCTATGATAATACCTACTTACCTAGCTGATATGAAGAGAAGAATTCACATGCGTAATGTTAGTATTCATACCATCAGGCGATGAAACTACACAAGTACCTAGTACCAAATGGGTATCACCAAACCTATTTATTTCAGTGGAAATTGTAAATAAAGTTGTGCGAAAAAAATAGGTGGTGATTCCTTGTTATATTTCAGGGAAAATGTGAAATAAAAATTTGTACTAGCTTGCTTCGTATTCAATTGTTGTTGAAGTCAAGCGTATTGGTTGTTAAATTTTTGATCCCCCCGTGTGAGCTTTTACGCTGGTAAAATTCAGTCTTTGTTGTTGGTGACTAACAAAGTCCCAAAATTCCAGAAGGATATACTTATTGAAGTTATTGAGTACCTAATATAAATATGTGTCTTGAGTGCATATCTACACATTAAAATTTGGAGTCAGATCGAAACTTTATTGTTTCCTAAAGTTGGGCTGAGCAAGATACGGAAGTAATAATATATAATGGATAAGATAATTATTTTTTCAAGTCTTCAATCTGAAGGAAATATGAAACTTGAAAATACCAGTGGTGTGCAATCATATTCATCATAATTATCGATGAGATAACCCACTGCGACGCAACTGGAATTATTTTTTCAGATCTGATTACACCAAAAAAAGGTCCATGCAAATATTCCATTGTAATTGACAAAAAGACATTCGGTAGGTGGTATAAAAGCGATTTATTATGAAAACGTATTGATATTCTGTATCTCAGAAAAGGAGCAAGTTAGGTCAAATGTATACACTTTTTCTTATAAAATATAACCGGAAATCACCCCTGAATCTATTTCCCAACTTATAGGACTTTAACAGAGTCATTAGAGAACATATATTTTCAAGATGAAAATTTCAAGTGAACATATTATATAGATATACAAGGTGTCAAAATGTCATATTGTGTTCATGCTTTTTATGTTTTCTCCTATAATCTTCAAAATGAAAAATATCAAATTCGGTACACCAATTATTCTTCAAACTTGAGAAACCCAAAAAATATAAAGAACTTTGACACCGTCTGTATCTCAGAAACGTAGCTCCAAACGCATACTATGTTTACATGAGTAGGTATTGCATATTAATAAAATTATTCTTCAAGCTGTTGAAGTCCTCTGCTTCAAAAAACTGACTCAGCCCTGTAAATAGCTTCTAGATGCTTTTGTATGACAAAAGACAATTGTATAATATATATTTATTAAGTATACACCTAGCATAATATATATATATATATATATATATATATATATATTATGTGCATAATATGTTTAGTGAATAATGTTATTGTTCACAGTTCAAATTATAATGTTTTTAATTATACCTACTAATATTTCTGAATAAAATGAAAATGAATCAATTCTTTTAGTAGAATGGAAACAATATAAAAAACTGTACAAATTATATTAAAGGTTACTATGTCTACCTAAATGATGTATTTGTATTTGCTGATGACAATGCAAGTGTTGTGGATTTAGTAACCTTTTGCAGTACCTGGATCGCCACCATTAAATATGTTGCAACTTGAGAGAAAATCTGGAAAATAAATATACTTATTATTAATACTATTATCAAAATAAATATATGCTTAGGTTCTGTCGACTGGTTCTGACGTAGTTCTGTCAGATAAACAGTAGCGGATTAGGTAGGTACCACAGGCGCATGGGTCTTGGCTTTTGAGGCCTCAGCAAAATTGGGGCTTGAGAAGAATAATTTGAGGCAGATTTAATAGTTATTCATGTATCAAGAGCGTAAAGTAGGCGTTTATGGCCTGTGGCGTGAATAAAGGCCCGATGGCGCTAGCCGAGGGCCATTACACGCTGAAGGCCATAAACGCATTTCACGCACGTGATACATACAAAATTTAATGCACTAGTGGTTTATTCTATTTTTTTTATATTTTTTTTTTATTTACACTACTCAACAGATATACATCCAATTACAGAGTAGGGATAATGAGTACATAATATTCAACAATATAACAAGTACAAATGTTCGTCATGTATCTTGCATATGGTATGCATATGGTATGCAGTGGTGAAAATTTCATCGTATTCAAGCGCGGAATCGGTAGATGGATAGGTCTGTAATTTAGGACATCGTGTTTATCTCCCTGTTTATGCACTGGTACAAGTTTTGCTTGTTTTAATGACATTGGAAAAGTCTTGGAAGAGAGTGACAGATTGAAAAGCTTTGTTAAAGGTTCCGCAAGAACTGTAGCACAATCGTGTAGCAAAAATGCAGGAATTTTATCAGGGCCCATTGTATTTCTTGGTTTCAGCTTCTTTAAAGCGAATGCCACTTCTTTTTCAGAGAGGTTTTTGATTCTGAGGCAATCATCACCTAGATCTTGCTGCGGAAAGGAATTATTTGCATTAACAGGAGAATATGAGCCTTGAAAGAAGTCTGCAAATGCATTCGCAATGCTTTTCGGATCATCACAGTTTCCATTCTTATAGTTCATTGCATTAGGTAATGAATAACAAGTCCTTTTATTTTTAACGTACTGCCAGAATTTTTTCGGGTCATTGCTTATATTTCTCTCAATCTCTCGACAATACTGTGTGTGATTTATTTCGATATCATATTTCAAGCGCCTTCTCAATGATGAGAATTCTTCGAGTGCAAGTGGATCATTACTATTTTTATACTTTTTCCATGCGTTATACTTCAGCCTCCCAGCCAACCATCGTGTGACATCAACATCTGTGTGATGTAACAACCTTGCATAAATGCAATATCTCGTTAGCACATCTTATCGACGTAGATTCGATATCAACGTCTCAAAGTGACATCGCAACCAGGAAACTATGTAAAATGTGGCAGCGACTTCTTCAAACTACATCTCTTCGACGTTAACTAAATAATTCGCATTGATATCCTCATGAGATATCTTTGTGACCTGTGAGTGTGACGCAGACATGCGCAAAACAAACGCACACGCCAGACGCCATGTTGAGCTGTGCATGGCCATGTCAGTCAGTCAGTCAGTCAGTGAGTGTGTCCGACTCCGAACAGACTATTTCTTTCCAAATTATCTGTTGAAATATCTGAGATGATTTATAGTAATATTATAGCAGCTTCAAATTGGAGGTATACAATCATTTAGGAACGACGGTGACTTCAATCACAATAGGTAATATTGTAATTATCTCTGAGATAGGAATATTGCAATCTAAAACAAGGTGAATGAAAGATCCCAAGATGATATAAGTGTATTTGATATGTATCATTTATGAAAAATGTATATTGTATTGCTATATATATGTGTCATGTTTTACTTCAAGATTACTAATTAGGATATGGAATGTGAATACAAGGAAACAGGACAGCGGCAGGAAAAGTGCACTTTACGGCCCGCGGGCCATAAAGAGCCCGCGGGCTGTAAAACACAACTCAACGCCCGAAAAACCGGGTGGTAAAGTGCACTTTACGGCCCGCTATTGCATAAAGATCTTTTAAGACCTATTTCCATAATAGGTGTACAGGGTGTTATGCCCCACGAAATACCATCTAAGGAAAATATTGAAATATTGAAAATGGAATTCATACCCGTTAAGTAAACATCGTTTGTCGGCAAATTTAGGATATTTAATATTTATTTTAATGACTCTAGATCAACCTTGAAATTGGTATCTCCAAGAATGCGCTAATTATTGAGACCGACAAACGAATATGATTTGATTTATTGTTATTGCCATATGAATCTATGAAATCCCTTCCTGTTTTTGACTATAAAAACACTTCATTGTAAAAAATGAAAATTCAATTGATCATTAACTCTCGAGACGTCAACTAGTAAAGATGTAGCTCCAATAGAATCAGAATAGATCGCGAAGTGCATAGAAGTACCTATCTATAGTGGTTATTAGAATCAGTGCAAGTGAGAAAGAGATTATGGCAATTCTTTCAACCCCCAAGCAAGTTGGTATGTCTTTGTGGTTACATTTAACAGACTATAGAACTGAAAGTGTTTTTGACATTCAACATAACTTTCTAACGATAATATAATGGACAGTTGAAGAAACTAGTCAGTCAACCTATTAGTGTCGAGGGTTAGGATGTTGTTTAGTGAATTAGATGTATAAGGGTTTTGCAAACTAACTTGATAAGAGGTGTCGAAATAAGGGATGATTAGAGTTTTAGCTATTAGTATATGCTGGGCTTAGAGTAGAAGTAGGGTTGAGTTTTGATATATATAGTTTTACTGGGTGTATTCTTTGAAGAAGTTTATAAAGGGGAGTTTATTTGTTGTTTTAAAGGATATCAACGTTGAGTTGAGAGTTTTCATTGTAGGAGAACCTAGGGTGAATAAATACTGGTTCATGATTATTGATTGTATATTGAATATTTTTGATTTCATGAATTTATAGAGTGATTATTTGAGTTTTTAGATATTTTCTTAACTTTGAAATATAAGTGAATAGACATCAGAAGTTTGAGTTTTCTGGATATTTGAATTTGTTAGGATTCTGATCGTGAATGTAGTTTATCTATTTGATTATAGTTTACTAACTAGATATTTGTTTTTCTCCTGCATTCTGCCACCATCATAGTCCGAACCCACACAATTTAATATCTGCTGTAGATTCTACACCCTGTATAAACATACCAGCCGCTCGGTATATAATCTGATAACATCTCCCTTATACAGGGGTGGATCAACACATTGGTGTCAGTCGTGTGGGGTTAATTTAATCAATTTAGGGTGGTTTTTAAGGGTTGATCTTGTAGAATGTTGAAAAACTAAATTTCAAATATTTTTTGTTATTTCGAGCTATGATGGTATAATATAGGTAACCCCTATATTGAGGCAAGTCTGGAGAGAGGAATTCAAAAAGAATTAGAAAATTTGCACGGTTTATTTTTTGACTTGAAATCTGAAAGGTAGCTCGTATGACGACCTGGAGTTATGAAAGTATTATTGAACAGTGTGACGGTCCGGTGTAGTTTGAATTGAGTAGGAAGTATATTCATTGAATATCATGCCTGATCCAAATTTACCTGTTCCGGTACCTGTAGCTCCGGTACGAGAAATAATTTTACCAGTGTCAATAAATTTGGATTCGATACCAGTTTATAGTGGGCAAACAAACGTAGATGATTTTATTGAAAATATTGAGGAAACAGCGGTAATTGCAAAATGGACAGAATCTCAGAAAGTTTCTATAACCAGGATAAAATTAAAGGGATTAGCCAAACAATTTGTTGACTCAGAACCTGATTTGAAAGTAACACGTGAATGGGAACTATTGAAAGCTAGATTGAAGAAACATTTTTCTGTGAGTCAGATTCCAGGACAGTCTCAAAGAAATTTCATGGACTGTAAGCAAACACAAGGAGAAAATTGTAGGCAGTTTCTTGCTCGTTTGAAATTATTAGCAGCTAAGACTTTGAACAGAACGGGAGATAGGTACCTATGTTGATACTATTTTAGAACAAAAATTAGATCGCGACACTACAACTAATTTTGTAATGGGGCTATTGAATCCGGTGAGAAAAAGAGTTTTAAGGGCCCAACCGACCTCTGTTGCGGATGCTTTGAGACTTGCTGAGCGGGAAGAGAACATAGAGAATATTACGAAAAATGAGGAACGAGCGAGGGAACGAGGAACTTCGAAGGTCCTCTGTTATTCAACAACAGATGAGAATCAGAGGAAATGTTATAAAAGTCAGAAAAAAGGTCATTTTGTGAACGAATTTAGGCAGAACTTTGTAAAAAGAATTTGTCACGGTTGTAAGAAGCTAGGACATTTGATAAAGGACTGCAAATACTTACCGCGAGCAAACAAGGCTAGTAAAGAAATTGTCTGTTATAAATGCCGAAAAATCGGGCATTTTGCGAGAGATTGTGATGTAAGAATGAGCAGAAATTATCAGGATAGATCAGAAAGTTCGAACGAGACTTTAAACGAATTGGCAGTAGCTCACTGACCCCGACGAGCCACTGCTTACCAGAATTTCGAAAACCGAATGTAAACGTGGTTGACCAAAAGATACTGAACTATACCTGCGAGAGTTCGAAACTCAAAAACCTTACTGAGATTGAGATCCAAGGATCCTTCAAGTATGTTTTGATTGATTCAGGTGCCGCAATATCTTTGATTAAGAAGGAATTCGCCCAGGGGTTTAAACGTATTAGAGATAGTGAAAAAGATATGATAAGAAATAATTTGGTGGATATTCAAGAAAATATTATTCCTAACGAAGGG